TCCCCGCAACAAAGTGCCCGATCAACGGAAATTGCTCCGAAACCTCCATCGCTTATACACTTCATCGAGGAGGCCCACTGTCAACTTGCTAAACTCCATACATGCAAACACACCGCCGGGCTTCAGCACACGAAAAGCTTCCCTCCAACGCGATCTGCTTGTTCGTGAAATTCCGAATCCCAAACGCAACCCGTATATAAATCCACCGAGTTGTCAGGAATCGAAGGCATGGATTCCGCGTTCGCTTCCATGAACGACAGGCGGTCGGTGTTGTAGTAAGGGGTGTCAAGGCTTCTTTTTTTGCCCTCTGCAAGCATGTCGGGGTTAATATCCGCAACCGTTACGCGTGTATAGGGGTCGTTGTTGATGTTCGTAGCATGGTCTAGCATGCGAAATGCAATGTCGCCAGTCCCACCGGCGATGTCGAGTATATTCCAGCCTTTCTCCTGTTTACCTTGTTCGCGGGCATAGCGAGAACCCGGGTTCAATGACCGGACAAAGTGATCCTTCCAAAGGCGGTGGATACCAAGCGACATGAGATCGTTCATCGTGTCGTAGGAGCTCGCAACAGAGCTAAAGACAGCTCCGACTGAAGCGGTAAATCAGCCTTCGACCCCGAAAAAGGACAGAATTGAAAATTGGAAACAACTAGCGGAGGTGAAGAACATACCCCTTGACTCCTTTGCGGACTCGGGAATAGTTTCGAATCCGAAATGAGTAGTCTGCTCATCTTGCCGGGGCTTGTTAGCTTGAGCCTGGATGGAGCAGGAGAAGCAACGATATGGTGCTTTTACTGGCACTGGCCTGCGTTTCGCACTCCAATGCAGAGTCCGCCAGATGGATTTGCAGGACATGCTGAGGTGCCGCTGCTGTAAGTGAGCTAGATGCGGTACTCTCAGAGCTGTTGCTTGCCGTGTGTTGCTTTGCCAGCTGCGATCATTAATTCGACTGCGTTTTGAGAGCAGGACCACGCTAAACTCAATGCGGCCAAGGCGTGGTTAGTCAGCCTCCTTATCGATAAGACTGGTTACGTAATGCGGGCGATTCTGTGCCGCCGACGCCAGCCGAGACTGACCGCCGGGTTCCTTCGCCGTGAAGCGCATATCTCTGGGCCGCTTGCTTTTCGCAGCGGAAAGACGCACTTTTCTCATCTCGCTCTTTTGCACACTACAAGGGAATCACTGCAGTGGATTTTAGTCGATTGAACCGGTGCATCTCGGGCACTCCGCAACGATGTCCAGACCTCTTCTCCGCCAGTGCTTGCACTCCACTCGACGAACGAATGTTGCTTTCAGACCGCAAGTTGGAAGAGCACGATGGGCGTCTTCGATATCACAGAAACCCGGGTCTGACCAGTACGTTCCGATATAGCATGCCCGGCCTTATTGGGGTAGACATGCTAATATGCTTGAAACCAACCAGTGTGCAGTTCCCAGGCGCCGTGAACAGCAAGTTCACAACCAACCTGTCCTTTGTCACTCCATCCGAGCTACCTGCAATCCCAACATATCGAGTCATGGACTCCGATGGTGTGATAGTAGACAAGAGCAGAGCCCCCGATGTGCCAGACGAAGAGATCATCACATGGTATAAGAACATGGTTCAAGGTATGCTTTCCGTGGGCCTGATGGACCGGGAGCTCGTTGCTAAGACGTTGGTAAATGGCAGTTAGCATTATGGATATGATCATGTTTGAAGCTCAACGACAAGGCCGTCTAAGTTTTTATATGGTATGTTTTGTCTTTCAACCAAGTCCATTTTGGTACAGTCTCTCACAGGCCAATAGGTTTCGGCAGGTGAGGAGGGAATTGCTGTGGGGTCTGCTGCTGCCCTTTCACCAGATGATGTTGTTTTCGCCCAATACCGTGAAACTGGTGTTTTTCAGCAACGGGGATTTTCACTGAAAGAGTTTATGAGCCAGTTATTTGCAAATAAGAATGATAATGGCAAAGGTCGCAATATGCCTGTTCATTATGGCGGAACGAATGTTCGAGCTGTAAGTGCTCCATGCCCATACTTTGTTAAGTCTCAATTGCTGACGTACTCCAAACCAGCACACCATCTCATCCACATTAGCCACCCAGATCCCCCAGGCTTCAGGTGCTGCTTATGCTTTGAAGCTCAAAACTCTTCAAAACCCCAACGTAGCCCCACAGATTGTAGCTTGTTACTTCGGCGAAGGTGCGGCCAGTGAAGGTGATTTCCATGCAGCTCTCAACATCGCTGCAACAAGATCTTGCCCTGTCGTTTTCATTTGCCGAAACAACGGCTATGCCATCTCCACCCCAACTCTGGAGCAATATCGCGGCGACGGCATTGCTAGTCGAGGTGTTGGATACGGTATCGATACGATCCGCGTTGACGGGAACGATATCTTCGCCGTTCGTGAAGTCACCAAGCAAGCCCGCCGGATGGCCTTGGAGAATGGTGGCCGACCAATTCTCATTGAAGCCATGAGCTACCGCGTTTCCCACCACAGCACTAGTGATGACAGCTTTGCATATCGTGCACGTGTGGAGGTCGAAGACTGGAAGCGACGTGATAATCCCATCACCCGTCTTCGCAAGTGGATGGAAAATAAGGGAATCTGGAATGAAGACTTGGAGCGCGAAACCCGAGAACAGCTCCGAAAAGCCGTACTCAAAGAATTTGCTGCCGCAGAACGGGAGCAAAAACCAGCGATCAAGGAGCTATTTACCGATGTTTATGAACAGATGACTCCCGAGCTCCTAGCCCAAAAGGAGGAGCTGAGGCGCGTTATGGAAGCATACCCCAGTGAATACGATGTTTCGGAGCATGAGGGTGGATTGAAAGGATTATAAAAGCCGTATAGAGCAAGTGTCTAACAGCGATCCTTGTCTACTTTACGCCGCTGAAGTCGCTCGGACAGGATTCATCTTCCACTTAGATCAAAGGGATGCGTGGACGACACTCTCGTGGCCTTTGATGATGCAATTCCCTTTGATAGATACCCAAAATATCCAATTGGGATAGAATTCCTAGTCGTTAGAAAATCTGTTTGGTTTGTACGGTGGGAGTGTCGATATAGATGCAGTTGCAGTTGCAAGGCGACTCCTGCTGAGCTACTTATTTTGCTGGGCAACTTGATCGATTTTATTTGAATGTTAAATAACCAGTACCGTTGTTGTTTATATGTATCAGAGGTGGCTATTGTCAGTTGGAATACGCGAGGAGCGTTTGTATGTTAAAATGCCAAATGTGGCCTATAAAAGGCCATAATAAATCACTGTAGTGATGTCAATATTCACTCCGTACCCCATCCTTGTGTTTTAGAATGGATAGATGAAGGACATAAACTACTTGTCTTGTATTTACTTGCCATTTGAATGCAATGAGGCCAGGGATGTACAGAGAAGAAGAAAATCCCACCGCTCAGCCAGTATGTATCATCAAGGCATAAGAATGATTTGACGGCTAACCCGCCAACCTCTGATTGTTCACCAGATCAATTGATCAGCAAAACGAAAGGACTAAAAACTCATGTAAATGCCAGATGAACCAACCAAAGTTGAGCTTCCCATCAAATGTCATGCCCGTGCAATGAAAAGCGAATCCTAACAGATAGAGCGGTATCCACTGACCCGACGCCAATCCTTTTCAAAGCGAATCCAACCGACTATGACATGGATTTAGCATCTGGAGATGTCAAAAACTCCAACGCCGCCGTCAATGCTTGCTGCATCAGCTTCTTATTTCGTTTCACAAGCGCCATCGCTTTCTTATCCACGGCATCTACGTCCTTCCGCGATACTTCGAGCTCACGCTGCGCCGCTTCAATCATCGTGCGTAACTCTTGGTCAGGCACGCTCATCAACTCTTCGAGATCAGGGCCCAGAGTACTACCAGTCATAATGCTTTTGGTAGTCGCGGATGACCGTGGGGGAACTGCGCTACCTGATGGATCTGTGCTGCTGGGGACTGCCCAACTGGTAGACCGAGCTGAATCGGCTTCGAGCGCGGAAAAAGACGTTGGGCGGTGTGGTCGTAGGTGCCTGGGAAGATGGATGAGATAAAATAACAGAATCCTCTGCGGTGCCCGTAATCAGGCCACTTCGAGATGCCTCATCGTCGATCCACCGAATGTTAAATTTTTCAGGAGTTGCAAATAGGGCATCGAGTCCTCCGCCGCGGTTAGTGGTATCCGGCTCTGTGATGACAAAAACTGGGTATTCATGTCCAGATTCCATAGCTGAGGTGAGACTCTTTTCTAGAGACAGATAGTGGTCCTCTTCCTCGGCAGATAGATGTCGTAATATGCATCCTCGAGGAGTAATAAGACATCTATGCTTCAAGAGGTCGGACCCGCCATTCAGCCGAATCGGCTCTCCACGAAGAAGCTTTTTCCGGTCATCTTCTGATAAATGGATTGGCCGCTTCAAATAATCATAGTCGTCAGCGTTGCATTTCATATCAACACGCTGATTTAGATTTGGAGGATTAAAAAGTGGGTGAACATGCAAATCCATTTCGCCGGATTTGAAAAGTTGGGCAAGAATAGTGGGCAGAGACGCGGTTCTTTCGACGAAGAGCTCTTTAAGCGGTATTCCCATCGCTTCAGAATCCACCATGAGTTGTTCCAAGGTGTTATTCGAGCGCCAGGGCTCGTCGAGCTCTTGTTCCTCTTCAACTTCTTCAACCTTGGGTGAGATTTTGGCAGCAGACTCCATCTGTTTGGGAGTCGCATAGCCGCTTGATTTCGCTTGAGGCTCCTCGTTTGCCACCGATGGCGTCCTTTCACCGTCTTCTGCAGCATCTACGTTGCGCTTAGATGGTTTCTTCGTCTTGCGTTTTCTACCCAATATAGGAGCTTGTACAGTATCTTCAGGAGGAGTAGGGGAGATTTCTTCTTCCTTCTTTGATTCAGCCTGTTCGGCTTTGAGCTTTCTTTGCTTTTTGACTTGATTTTTTGACATGGCACGAACTGGGGCTGACCCGATTCTGCTTGGCGGCGGGGAATTGGCTCGCGACGCGGAAGCGGACGTATAGGGATCATATTCAGAGCCAATATCTGCCGGAGTGGCGGGGCGACTGACAGAAGAAATGCTAGGTCTCCGTGACCGCTGCTTCATTGCTGTAACTGAGCCTGAAGTGGCAGTCGATGACTGTAGCGGTGGGGTTTCCGACTTTGGAGTATCTACCACACGTAATACTCGTGGCTGACGGGGAGCGGGGGAATCGGACATCCGAGACGCTACTGTTCCAGGTGTATTTGGTCGCGAGCCCACCACTGACGTAGCAAGAGCTGGAAGGTGATAAGGGGGGGCAGTTTGGGAGGGAGACGCAGACTCGCGAGAAAGAGTAGAAAACGAGATATCCAGCTTGATAGGTTTCGATTTGCCATGGGATTCCTTGGAAACCCCTTTGCTCTGTTTGGTTAAAGTTACTTCGTCGGTTGGTCGTTTGCTACTCCTGGATGGCGAAGGGGCCCGAATCCCCTGCACAGCAAATGTGCTTGATTTCGGTTTAGGTGACCCAGTTGAAACTTCAGCGAGGATATTGGCAGTATCTGGCTTCGATGTCGCAGGCGATTCGGGTACCACTGGAGTCGCGCCCCTGGAGACAACGGGTTCCCTGAGTTTTTGGGGTGGTGTTAAACCAGGTGGAGGAGCAATGGTGGTTTGACCGGAGGCACGCCGTTTGGACGGTGACGGACTGGAACCCAAGTCGGACTCATTGATTAAAGAAGCTGCGGGATGGCCGTGGGGAAGAGGTAGACCCGGAGGAAGAGTCGGAGTTCCGGATCTAATAGAAGAGACAGGGGATCCTATGGAAATATGGGATCTGGATGGAATACGGACGGTGTCCAAGGCGGATTTGGGAGGCGCTAAAGGCGGAAAGTCTTCATCCACTGTTCAACAACCTGTTAGCTTTCCTGTGCAACAACCAGAAAGTGTAACGAATTGAACGCTGAGACCGCCTGGACAGGAGTGAACAAGAGAGAAAACAAGCTGCAACATGCTACATGCTTCGCCCGGACAATACACTTGGTAGGGAGAATTCATCACTACGGCTGAAATCATCCACAATTGCGGAAGGAGGAAGAGGGGATAAGTTCTAATGGAGAATATGTGAGAAAATTGCTTTCGACGTATTGCCAGGCTTGGATACACATCCAAGCAGGGAGGTTTAACGTACATGAAAAGATTGCCCACGAAGACTCAGTTGTATGCCCGGTGGTCGCTGAGAAAATGAACTCGAGATGCCAAATTAAAGCACCAACGACCTGGAAGGCCCAGAGAAAATAGATACGGTGCAAAAAGGTTGACGCCTTCCACCAACCTCACCGCAAATATGCAGACACGCCATGCCAACGCCCCAGCCGGAAATTTTTGCATCGAGTGTCATATGCAGCGCTGCCAGGCATAGAATATTAAGAAATAACGGAACGAGGACAGAAGCTCGCAAAACAGCGTAAACTCCCGATATAGTAAAAGACAAAACGCTGTGTCACGATGGAGACGCAAAACAGTGCAAAGACAATCAAGCGCAGGAGGAAATCCACAAGATTATAGAAAAGAAGCGCTAAGATAAAGAAGAAATCGGGGGACAAAAAGGTAAGTGAAGGGTGTAGAAAAACGATATCACCATCTGGCAAAACCTCCGCTGAAGACCATGTTGGAGTGGTTGTACCCACCTTGACCCTGACTCCCGTACAGTCCCTGCCCAGCGACAGCAGTCGCACTATTTTGGTGCATTCTCGCTTGCAAGATACTCGGGTCCGCAAGATCTACTACACCACCTCCACCGGAGGAAGTGTTAGCATGTCTGTGCTTCTTCCCCCTTTTCTTCTGCTTCTGAAGCCCTGGGTCTTGATAGAAACCGGATTGAGGGCCATAAAGCGAGTTGAGAAGGCCTGAAACGGGAGCCAGGGGAGGAGGGGCATTGTGTTGATGGGTTAAAGAAGATATGTACTCACGCTTTGCTGCCTCTGAAATTTGAACACCCCCGCCACTTGTGCCACCACGAGCACGCATAAGCTCACGCATCAAATCGGCGTTCCCATCTTGCTTGACATTGAGTCCCAAATTATTATTCATTGTGCTTGTAAACCCGTGACCTTGGGCAAACATGCCGCCTCCACTTACTGGTGGAGTGCCTGTAGTCTTGAGACCTGGGGGAGGACCTTGAACACCACTGGTAAAATAGTGGCTGCCAAGTCCATGCTGTGAATTAGCAGCAGCTATCGGGTTTGGGGTCGAAGCCTGCATTATGGCAGCCTGTTGGTTGATAATTCTCTGACTGGAGTTTTTGGCATTTGAATCATTCGCAAAGGAAAACCTTGAAGATTGTCGCGCATGGCCGGACATCGTGCTTATGGGAGGCATTTGGTTTTGAAACGCATTCGGACGAGAGAGGGGGTTATGATCATATCCATTGGCCGAAGAAGATTGAAGCTGATCTAACAAGCCAGTTGGCTGACTGTTGGCAGACTTCAGGGCCATAAGCTGCTGCTGTTGGAGGGGAGTAAGAGCGCGGCCGTTTACATTCAAGCTTTGGAAATGATGGCCAGCGGAAATAGGGGATCCAACGGCAGAATTCGAGGCTGTTGCCTGTTGGGAGGGAGGTTGAATAGCTTGCGGTTCACGGCCACTACGTCCCCCAGCGGCAGAATGTGATTCCTCTGGTTCACCACCGAGCTGTGAGCTGCCACCTTCCAGGGTTTCCTCCTCAGCTTGATTGGCTTGTGCAAGCATCTTAGCTTCAGATTCTTGCTTTGTTCGTTCTTGTTCCGCTTTTTCACGCATGGCACGCCGCTTAACACCGCCGTAAGGATCGATGAGCGAAGGATGGTTTTCAATGAAAGCAAGCTCATCAGTTGAGAGGCCAGCCGGCGAGAACTGGAACCGAAATTCCGAAGAGTTGATTGCCTTTACCAGATTGTCCAGGACCACAGATTTATCCTGAAATGTGGACAGTGAGGTGACAGGAGGTACAGAATCACGTTGCGCCGAGCTAGGACCGCCGGCTGGCGTCGGCGTATGTTGCCGTGAGCTCTCACTATTCTGTTGCGGCCGTCTTTCGATAGTAATTTTTGGCTCTTCGGGCTTGGTTGCAAGAGTTACAGGTGAAGGCTTTGGACTCGGTGTACCACGACTCGCGGCCATGCTAGGTCGCCTTGTTCGCTGTGCGAGTGTCTCTTTATTCGCCCAACTAGCAGATGACGGAAGGGCAGGCGAGTCGCCGCCTGATGATCGACTTCCTTCATCCCTATTAGAATGTCGCTGCACTGAGACAGAGCTCGACGATCCGGGCTGGCTTGGCTGCTGATAAGCACGAGGCTGACTCGCCGCAACATTGGGATAGTTCGGATGTGGGCGTTGAGAAGAGATCGTGTTCATGGAAGATAGATCCTGGCGGCTGAAGCTATCGCTATCTTCTCCGGTCTCGTGGAGGAAGGTACAGTTCCTATTATTGCATTGCTCGTTACGAAGAAACGACGAACAGTATTTGGTGGTTCCGTATTGGGCTCTAGTGAAACAATCAGCTGCTTGCAGATAAAAAATCAGGACAAAATCAAGCCGTACCTTAAAACTCGATCGCCGTTTGCGGAGCCGTCAACAGCGGCAATGCATGACGCAGCGTCGCTCTTTTTTGCAAATGTCACGTACACGCCAATACCCTGATTTGGGTTGCCACCAGGTTTCGCTTTGCTGACGACGATCTTTTCTATATCCCCATACTGGCCGAAGTATTGATCACCTCTCAATGTTTGCAATAACTGGCTCTCGTCTCTAATAGTTGGGTTGAGTCCTATCACATAGACAAGGTTTTTCTGAACGACACGAACGCCGGCAAGATTTTTTCGACTAGAAGCTTCGATTTCGCGTTTCTCTTGCTCCCTTTTCTTTGCAGCGGCGGCTTTGCGGTGCTTTAATGCTAAATCTGCCTTGAGCCTAGTTGAAATCGGGTGTCAGCGCGGAGAGGAGGGTTTCTCAATATAGCCAAGATGAACTTACTCATCCGCGTCAGGAACCCTGTATTGTATTGTGGTCTCGTCATATGCGCGTCTGCAATTGGGACACCGGCCCTCTTCGCTATGCGTCTTGATGTTATTGTAGCAAAATTGGCAAATCTAAACGGTATCAGCAGGTGAAATGAGTTTCGGCGCGATTTCGAAGATCGAAGTGGGGGAGCGACAGGAGTATCGAAGGTGGTTCGAATAACATACTTGATAACCACAAGGACATGGTTTGAAGTTCTTGTCCGATAGGTCAAATTCTTCAATGCAGAGAGGGCTGAAATAAGAGTAAGCATCACATATCAGCCTAGCGGGGTGAAAGCCCAAGAAGAATAGGAAGTTATCATACCAAAATTCATCATCATCATCAATTACTGTATCATTTTGGGTTCTTAGAGACATTTTAGCGTTGGGTGCTGAAGGGATTTAGACTTGGGCCGAGAGAGTTCTTGAAATGCACTGGAGAGTCTGCAGGAACATGAACAAGGAGAATGAATATGCACCGGGAAAACAAGTGTATTATTGTAACTGAAGGCGCCAATAAGTGAAGTGAAATAACCGAAGAAGAGAAAAGATAAAGGAATTAGGAAGAGAGAGATGTTGTCAGTCGGCGAAAAGTGTTGATGAGATGGCTCTGGAGGAGGAGAGAAAGGAAGAGTCAAGATGAGCTTAACCCGTTTTAGCATGGCTGACTCAGGAAATTTGCCCTTTTGACTTTTTGTCAAGTGGGAGCCAATCAGAACGCTTACCTTGAGGAAATTTCGATTTTCCCAGATTATATCAGCAAGATGCATTATGTAGTTGCTGTTATCCAATCAGCAACATGCATTTCACAACGCTGAATGTTGAATGGCATCACAAACAAGAGGCAGCGGAACCTCACGCCAGGGAGGACTTTGTTGCGAGCTCAATTGTTTACCACACCATGGCGTCAGCAAGGTCAATGATGCGGCTGGCGTCGAGCCGCTCTCTAGCCTATGCTAGACCGGCAAGAACTGCAAGGCTCTTCTCCAGTGCAGCCGCGCTCCACGAAGCGAAGGTGGTTTCCGGCAGTCCACTCCCAAACCAAAGGGATGAGCGCCGTGCACGTAAGTATTCCTGCGGGTTTGCCTTATACTCGTCGATCGAGTAACTGATCTGGTTAATCTCCTCAGCGATCGAGGCCCTCCACCGTGCTGTCGTCAACCCAGCCGACAAATACGCGGAGAAATCGAAAGAGCTTCATACCTATGGCCAATACCTGATGTCCTGCCTCCCCAAATATATCCAACAATTCTCCGTCTGGAAAGACGAATTGACAATCTATATCCCGCCCGCTGGCGTCATCCCCGTTATTTCCTTTTTGAAAGACCATACCGCCGCAGAATACAAGCAGGTTTCCGACATTACGGCAGTCGACTTCCCAACGCGCGAATATCGCTTTGAAGTCGTCTACAATCTTCTGAGCGTTCGCCATAATTCTCGGATCAGAGTGAAAACGTACGCAGACGAGGCAACCCCAGTTCCGAGCATTACTTCCTTGTATGATGGAGCAGTCTGGTACGAGCGCGAGGTCTACGACTTGTTTGGTGTATTCTTCGTCGGTCATCCGGACCTTCGAAGAATCATGACGGACTATGGTTTTGACGGACATCCGTTACGAAAAGATTTTCCACTTACAGGGTACACTGAGATCAGATACGACGAAGAAAAGAAGAGAATTGTTGTTGAGCCATTGGAATTGACACAAGCCTTCCGCAATTTCGAGGGCGGCACGTCTGCTTGGGAGCAGGTTGGGCAGGGCACTGATAGGAAGCCGGACAATGTAAGTCAAAGAGGCCCTTCTAAGTAAATGAATTGTTTTGAAAAAGCTAATACGTATTGTTTCCGTCAGTTCAAATTGCCAACTCCACAACCCGAGGAGAAGAAAGAGGAGCCAAAAAAATAGACTGAATATATAATGTATACCAGCTTCCTTTTATTTGGCATTATAGGTTTCTTTCCAATGTGGGTTTAGGCTTTTTACACGAGAATTGTACAAATTTTGTTCCAGTTTCCTCCGTCCCCCAGCTATTCATACCTCCACAACAAGTGGATAACAGATGCAGTCTGGGAATCATACAACAACGGACAGCCAATCTAAATACAGGCTACTCACTCTTTTCCCCTTTGCCCTTTTTGGGCATCCGACGAACCGAATAATAGTTCATCCCTCTCCCACATCAACTCTACCGCGGCTCCAGCTATCCCAGCCACCGCGCAAAGCGCAATTGTTTTAAACCCCAGTTTCACGCTGCTGACCCGGATTCCGCATGCGGAATGCGCAGCATTATACAGTAGAATTGCCCAAAGCAATGTTGGCGCCGCAGCCGTCATATAATCCCATTGCAGAAGCCATAATGTTCCCATGCCGAGAGTTTCAGGTTTTTGAGACGACCAGGGAGATATATTTTCAAACACATTTCGTGGCGTCAGGGTCGATGCGAGTTCTGGGCTGAACAAGGTCGGGAACGCAAGGGCAGAAAGTGATATTGCCCAGGACGCAATGTGAGGAATTGCTGCGCAAGCAAATGCGAAGGCATACAGGTAGCGGAGGCTACTTCGATTCTGGGCTACATTGCCTGAGCCCGACGGGCAGCAGATTTCGGCAGATTTGCTAATTCCGTACTGAAAGATAGCCACGTAGATTGGCCACGCTTGCCAAAGTGCGATTCCGTGTTGCTTTGAAGGGAGAAGGCCTTGTGCCATCTCAGGAAAGGCGACCAACACGGACGGCACAACGTAACCGGCAAGTGTGCTCCACAGCAGGGTTTTCACTTGAATCACAGGCATATTTATGTTTTCTTTAGTCGGCTTGCTGGCTGTTGGCGATGTGAAAAGATGCAAAGTGACATATAGCGGTGCCGATACCGCAAAACTGCATAGCTGCCATGCTAAGCCAAAGAATGATGGGCTTGTTCCAAAGGTTAGCTGACGGTTGCGTCAAAGATAAATGGAGATTTTCAATTTGGAGGCGGGCTGGGGTTCCTCGCCGTCTGGAAGCTGGGCTCTACTCACTACGCAATGAGGCGACCTTGATTTCCAGCTCTCACGGACTCTAGACAGACCAGTATGTAGATAGCGGCGACAGCACCAGCAAATTTGGCTGCGTAGAGGGACAGGTTAGGGGACGTCCCATTCACAATAGGATAGAAAAATGGCACAAAAGCAGTCAGAATTTCGTCAATCACCGTGACACCAGTCCAATTGGTGTTTAGTAGTTCTCCTCCAGGCAGCAGCTTGGAAACAGCCATATCCTGGACTGCTGGAATGTGGCCATTTTGGTAGGAGAAATAGAAGACCGATATGGCCCCCCATACAGAGCAGAGTGGAATAAAGTATTTCAATTGCGAAACCATTTTGCAGATTTCAACGAAAGTGACAACTCCTCGACAATCGACAGCCTGAGGGTTTGATTTCATGGGCAATTTCGACTTCTGGAGGGAATGCCCCTTGATGCCGGGTGTCCCGACACTAGGCATCGGAATATCGTCCACCCCATGGCTGTTCAACCTATCAGAGCTGTGGTGGAATCGCAACTTTATGTTGTTGGAGAGGATGTTTTATGTTCAGCATGGAGGCTGTGTAGTCTGTCTAGCCAAGGGGTCAGATCCTCGTAGCTAACTACTGTGAGTAACTACTCCCTTGTTAAACTACATTCTCCGTACTCCGTACCAGGGGTGGTAAGTTATCAAGGAAGACTTCAGCCAAGGAGAATAGGATAAACACAAGGATAGTTTTGTTGACATAGATCTATCATGCCTTTAGTTACATAGAACTATCATGTCAGCTCTTTTAGAAATAACCAAAAATTCCCAATAATGAGATTCCATAGCAATTTCGACAAGAATCTTTGGCCCACAAACTGATCTCTCTCTTGTCCACCACGTCAAACACGATCGATTTCGTATCATCGCAAAATCCTTTCTCCAAATTCAGGCGTAACCACATTATCTCTGTGACCCAACATAATTAGTATGACATATCACTCCATAACATGACATGGAACATACTATGGCATATAAAAAGAAAACTTCCCGAGCTACTCATCACATGCTGTGCATTTGTAGTTGACATCGCGGTCTTGCATGTTCGAGGTGCAGCGGCATTTGTTGGAATTCCCTTCGCTTGCCTTGAGGGTTCGAGAAAGAGTATGGCCGCAGGTAAAATTGATTGTAACCCAACACATATTCGAGATGCGGACGGCAATCAGGAGTCTTTGGTAAACAGCAAGTGAAAGAGTGTTGGGATATCTGTGAAGGTTCTTGGAGAGGTGGTGCTTGAAATGAAACAGCAAAGGGAAGTAGATGGTGTTTATATATTGGTGCCAGTAATTAGATGCTACAGGTGTTTGGAGGCATTGTCTTTCTTGACTATGTGCCAGTTTCAACTTTATGGTGATTTGCTGTGCTGGCTATGCATGGAACTTTGGGGACAGGCTGGATCAGTGGCATGGACCGTCAGCCTCATCAGTCAGGAATACCGCCTTTTTTGAATGGAGGAACAGAGGCAGAGCAGGATATCATTTGTTCAACATGGCTAAAAACAATTCTAGCGTCGGAACTAACCCTCCTTGTCGGACCAAATGAATCAGACAATGTTCACTCCGTCCTCCAAAGGCTTTGGCTGACCATGTTTTCTAGCGTCATGCGAGGGACTTTGGCGTCCTATTTTAGCCGTGGGTGCGGGGGACAATGATTTACCCAGGCAATCCTTCGCATTTGGTCTGGCTGCACGGACTTAACCTCAGCCTGGTTGATGCAGAACGTTGCTTCTTTCAAGGTGGCGCATCATCAAGATGTCTGCCCAGCATGACCTCGATGTTAAAATGGTTTCTTTCTTTGGGAATTCATCTTTTGCCAGTGATGCTATATTCCCATATCAATTTTTCGCTTTACGTTGGACATTTCGCGTGTTGACCTCAAGAGCAACGTATTAGTCCCTGCGATTGACAGGAAGCAAGATGCAGTGGCCAAACGACAAGGATTGGGCGCTGCACAAACACAATATATGGCTTCTCTATATTGGAGAAAACCTGCCTCTCAAGGAGGTGATAGTACAGATGCGCTCTAGGCACGGCTTCAAAGGCACCCCCAAGATGTACAAATCACGCCTTGCGCTTTGGGGCTTCACCAAATATAAGAAGCGCGTGGGAAAGCCCACGGAAAATGAAGACGTTTCCAGCGTCACGGTTTCTTCAAGTTCGCCCCTCTCGGTGGCTGCTGTTCGGCGCGCTTTCTCCTCCCGCACTGTCAGTCCTGCTACCCTGCAAAGCCCCCTTCCACCGTCTGTAGGCGAATCCATTTTCAGGCTTGTCAGCGGATATTACAGGGCTTCATGTGATACGAAACTGTGGTATACATGCGAGTCGGGGCGATTTACAACCAGCAAAGATGTCGCACGCTCAGCGAGCAACCCTGACAAATTTGTTGGATTTTGGACTGCTGGCTTGTCTTTCGCCAAGGAGCGAGATTTCAAGAATACTCGACAGTCACTCTCGAACGCCTGTGAGCTTATCCCGACTATGGTACTGGCTGAACACCCTGCCACAATGCGCGCTATCCTGGAGCTGCTGCTTCTATATAATAGAGAGGGCTATTATGAACTGGCTCAACTTGTGCTGCAGCAGATCTACCAGATGGCTGGTCTATATCTTTGCCACAGTCATCCTCTATCAAATATTTGCACCCTTTTCCTTCGGGTGGAACCGAGTGAGCTTGACGAGGTGATTCCCACCGCATTGGACTGCGGGCTTGATGCGCTTTCGGAGAAATGTGGCCGTCTCCATTATAATGTAGTCCGCTGCCGTGTCTCTCTTCATCAAACGAAATCAAAGTCACGACACGACCCAGGAACCCCTGCCGTTTTCCAACAATGGCTCACAGAATATGCTGACTCTGCAAGCTTTTCGAATGAAGGCTATTTGAACGTCGCAGAATCGATTCTTGAATACCTCTGCCATAATCTTTTATTCGCCGAAGTGGAACTGATAATAGGGAAAATGCGTGACTGTGCGTTGGACCTTGAACCGGCTCGGTGTCGCAAGTGGATATCACGATGTTCCGAAATCATGGCTTCGGTTTACGCCAGCCAAGGAAAGTCCGAACTTGCTGAACAACATGTTCGGTCCTGCATTAGGGCGCGAGAGAAGCAGTACGGGCATGACGATCCATGGTCTGTTTCGTTGAGGATGCAGCTCGCCCAGTGGCTGCGACTCAATGATCGCAGCGAAGAAGCGGATCGCCTTGAGGCATTGGGTGTGGAGGCGCTTGGAGGAGGCCTGTAGCATGAATTGATGTATAAAGACTCGCAAAAGAAAAGGAGCTTACGAAGTTGTTTGTATTAACTACTAAGCTGGTCACGTGCATCCAACTTCAGAAAGAAAACACGCTAGCCGTCTTTGAATTGATTCTTGGCGCTTGTACTCCATACATAGATATGGATTATATAATCAACCCTCCTCATGCGATCAGATTTGCCGGGTCTTTAGGGAAGTACTTGGGCAGCTATACACAAAGATGCCGAAGCGCAAGCGAGAAGATGTCGATGAAAATCCAGCTTCCAATCCCGAGCCGCGGAAGCTCACCCTTCGAGCCACTCGTTTAGAGCAGAAAATCGAACAGGGAATCCAGCAAGTACACCGAGCTCTCAAGACCGCGAGAGGATTTGAGCGCCAAAAGCTGGGAAGGCGCCAAAAGAACGCGCAATCGAAAAATGAAACCGCCCAGCTATCCCGCTTATCTGAAGAAGTACAGGCTTTGAAAGTAAGTGGCTCCGCAAGCTTCCAATTTAGCCAGAAGGATCGCAGCTCATGAATTTTGAACCGTAGTCTCTAGACCTCTCGGAGATTTCAAGAAAGTACGTGATAAAGCAACTTGTTAAGACTAAGCGGATTGCGGATTCACCGGTTTTCGCGCAATTAGAGTTCTCTAAGCAGAATGTCTTTGACGGGAAGAAGGATGGACCCGAAGCAAATGTTATGGCACGGCTCTTTAGTTCCAACCCAGTTAAGACGATACTCCCAGGGATAATGGACGGTATTCGAGGAATTTTAGGTGTAGACGATGCCGCCATATCGGATAAGAAAACCGCCGCTAGCCAGAAAACATCGAAAACTCCGGCCACTGCAGGGCCGCTTATTTCCAAAACGCCACTCCAAATGGACTCACATAGCTCCGATCAAGAGGATACGCCGATGGGTGAAGCTGAGAGTACCTCGGAATTCGCCCAGTTTGATGACCTTATAGCCTCCTCGTCTGGTTCGGAGAGCGAAGGCGATTATGAAAACATAGTTTCAGGCAAAAAAGACAAAGCGTACGATCCGGTTGAAGACTTCTCCCTCTCCCCAACACCCTCTGTTACGGACTCGGATTCCCCTCCTGCCACCGCGTTAAAGAGCTCGAAACCTTCCAAACCCAGCGGAAAAGCATCAACAACATTCTTACCGTCCCTGACAATGGGCGGCTATTGGTCAGGTACCGAGTCCGAGGCGGAAGATAATGAAGCAGCGTCGGCGATTGCACCAAGAAAGAATCGCATGGGCCAGCAAGCGAGGCGAAAATTATGGGAGAAGAAGTTTGGCGCGAATGCGAACCACGTGCGCAAGCAAGGCGAGGGCAACAATCGTGATAGCGGTTGGGATATGCGCCGGGGAGCGACATCTAACGAAGGCCGCGGACGTGACAGCGGTGGAGGTGGGCGGCTTGGCCGGCGCTCCAAAGATGAAAGTGGCCCTTATAGGAGAGGAGAGGGTGCTGGAAGAATGCGTGATTCGATTAAACGGGGCCAGGATCAGGATCAGAAACCTCTTCACCCTTCGTGGGAGGCAGCGAAAAGAGCTAAAGAACAGAAGGCACAAGCAAATTTCCAGGGCAAAAAGGTTGTTTTTGATTGATGTGTCCAGGAGGCTCATATAGATACTCTGCCAACCGTTGGCCGCCCCCCTTTAATGTCTTTCATGGCTTTATACTGAGCGTCAAATTCTCGTTTTTAACATTCAAGAGAATTTCCTTCATTATAAATGATTTCCACGAGCCGCAAGTTGATGACAATGAGTTGCGTGTATATTTTTATTCAGTTATGAAGACTGCATACAGAGTAGGAGACTTTCCTCGTTCCTCGTTACTAAGCTGTCCTTCCACCGGAATTTAACTCTGGAGGCTCAAGGAAGCCCGCCCTTGGCGCCCGTAGTCCGCGAGCTCTGATTGGCTAGCATCAAACTTTTGCTTTGCCCCTCCATAAGATTCCCGTCCAAACACAACCAGATTCCGCTCCGCATGCAAGTTTTCCGCCGTTGGCTTTCTCTCCCCGCCAGAGCCAAGTCGTATCCGCGAAGAATCGAAACCCCCAGGCAGAGAGCAAGAAGAATGGCCGCTCTTCCAGATACATACCCCGGTAAGTTGTTTCTCTGTTGCCTCTCCTGATAGCGCCATTTATCCGCGACCCCGCTATTGTGTGTCCATACATAGAGCATCAATTCCCCCAAACAGTTTCCGCCATTTGTCTAATAGAGCAAACTCTAGATCCCGTCCATATCGGAGTAATCGGCGGAACTGGTCTTCGCGAACTCCCCGGGTTCACCCAGGTAGCCTGCCTCACGATAACCACGCCATGGGGCAATCCATCCTCCCCCATCACGGTCCTCCATCACAAATGCTCCACGACGGGAAAGACTGTCCCCATTGCATTCCTCAGTCGACACGGCGCGCATCATGAACTTGCACCGCACGAGGTACCCAGCCGGGCGAACATTGCGGCTCTCAGGTCCATTGGCGTGAGGAGCATCATCGCGTTCTCCGCTGTTGGCAGTTTGCAGGAGGCGATTAAACCACGCGATTTTGTGGTACCGGATCAGGTGATTGATCGGACAAAAGGGGTGAGACCGTGGACTTTCTTCGAGGGAGGAGCGGTGTCGCATGTTGGATTTGCGGATCCTTTCGATGAGGGTTTGGCGAAGATTGTTCGGGCGTGTGGGCACAGTTTAGAGGGTGAGGGTGTCGTACTTCATGACCGTGGAACTCTGGTTTGTATGGGTAAGTGCCCATTCACTATGATCCTACTCTGCCCTTTGATACCTTCTTGCAGGCTGCTGACCAATGCGTTCCCATACAATTCAGAGGGACCCCAATTTAGTACCCGCGCAGAGAGCAACCTTTACCGCACCTGGGGTGGTAGCGTGATCAACATGTCCTGTCTTCCTGAATCAAAACTCGCCAGGGAGGCCGAAATTGCGTACCAGATGATCTGCATGTCAACCGACTACGATTGCTGGCACTCATCTGAAGAAGATGTGACGGTCGAAATAGTCATGGGCAATATGAAAGCTAATGCCGTTAATGCTAGGCGGTTTATCGGTGCCGTCTTGGACGAATTAACCAAGGATGAACATCAAAATCTGGCTAGGGGGAAACACCTTGAGGGGATCGCGAAGATGGGATTGAGTACTGTGCCGAGCCAAATGAGCGCCGATGCGTTAACGAAACTGGCCTGGTTGTACCCCGGATACTTTAGCAATTAAACCCATCAGAAGACTTTGTACTTCTCGTTGACTTTAGATATGCTTTTCGCCTGTAACGGTGCCATACCAAGGATGTCTCCCTTCCACTGATTTAGTGGACGATGATTCGACAAAAGTGAGGCCAGGCTGTCGTATATTTTGTAGACCATGGCTTCTCAATAGATATTTGTGCAGGCCATGTAATGGAACGAATAGTTTCGAAATAGGATACAGACTTGCGGCAATACCTTTGAGGACATGCTGAGACAGCATCTAGTTTTGACTTGCCCATGGGATTTCCCTCCTTTGATGATCATTTACATATGGATAGTCCATATGCTGGCCAGGAAATTGTTCACGGTAACTGCTAGAACATTTGCTTGAGAAGGAGTATGGTAGTTATGCGGGTATACGGAGTACTTTTGTTCAGTACTGCTCCGCAGGCGCCAACACATCCGGCATCACACCAAGACAGCTATGGGTCCCATCGCCTACTAAGAAGAAAGGATCTTCCACCGTTGAAATCTATCGATCTGGAAAGGATTATGCTAAACGCATCATCTGAACGAGCAATTGATCTCTGGAGTTGATTCGAAATACGAGTACACTCCGGAACTTCGGAGCATAGGGCTCAGGGGAATTCAGGGGAAATTGAATTTAGCTCGGCCTGAGCTTGCGCGCCTAGGCTCCTTGAGTGAAGGGCTGGGAAGTCGTAATATCTGTCGGCGCGATTTGCCAATTTGCTCCAATTGAGAGCCAACTCCAAAATTGCAATGATGGTTGGGCCAATTGTCAAAGAAGCCAGAATTCCATGCTCCCTATTAGATGTTTTTGCTCATGGCACGGAGCATTTGTGGCGAAATGAAGTGGCAACATGTTGGCCGGTGTTTACTAGTGAGTCAACTAATCACTAGCGACGGAACAGTTCGCCTGGAGCCCGATGCTTGAGATCATTCTCCCGTATAAAAAGAAAGGCGAACCCAGAGAAAAGACGAGACTCTCTTCCTGCTGACCATCTGTCTCTCGTTTGAAAATACCAACTTTTGTCACTCTTTTATTAGTCCCCTGACTTTTCAAACTGTTTCGTATTCCATCTGTACTGAGGAGGCCAATCTGATAATTCAACAACCGACACAATGGCTCGTAAATTCCTGTTCGGCTTCCTTGCTCTAGCCGCGAGCTCCATCTCTGTCCATGCCAAAACCGATCTCGACGGCTGCGTATCCACGGCGACCGTCAACAGTTATAGCCAGGCCATCAATCTGTGGTACGTCCCCGAGACCGGCGAAATCTGCGAGCCGCTCGATTGTGGTGGCGGGCGCGCTCCAGTCAAGTACACCGTGCCGGGCTGCCACGCCTATCGCGGCACGGATACGTACTCTCCAAAATACCTGGCCTTGTCCACAGACGCCCCGAGCGAGACTGGCACTGCGGACACAGCTTCAGCGACGACGGAGGCGACTATCACTCAGTCTTCGCCCGCGCAAACCGGAATGACCACTGTGGTCTCTCGTCAAAGCAGCTCGCCGGCTGTAACTAGCGCGGCTGACACTGCCAGCGCATCGCAAACCGGTTCCGCCACCGAGACCGGCGCTCCTGCAACCCAGACAACGAATGCGGCTGCAGGTTTGGTTGTTGGCGGCAGGATGATGGCTGGTGTGATTGCTGCGGCTGGGCTGGCAATGCTGTGACCAGATGAAACATTGTCAAATCCGCCGAGGAGGAGGATTTGACATCACAAGCGCGCGATGGTTGTCGTTACGAAGGAGCTCAAGTGCATGGACTCTGCGATTAACGGACAGCAGGGGCCTTGGGCTGATCTGTAAGCCTGTATTTTATGTAGTTAGTTAATGGACATGTAGCAAAATATGTGAAAATCTTTCAAATTCTTAAGAATTTTCTTTTATCTTTTTAGATTTAAAACTTTCACATGCTTTTAATACTTTTCTCTTAGTAGAATCTTTATAAAAATATCCGGCTAACTGTGGTATTCCTGGCGGCGCGGGCTCATCAACGCAATCAATCGTATGATTCCTCCTGCTTGCTATGTTTACCCAACAACTATAGCCTTCTTTTGACTTGCACACTAATCTACATTGAACTCTAGATAAAGCACCATCCTCTGTCCGTGATCAGGTTGCGGATCATGAATCAAACGCGGTTAAGTATTATCTGGACCGGGAAGTTCAATTTCCCTTGCAAGCTGCTGCCTTGGAGTTTGTTTCTGACGAGGTAGTTGACAAGGCCGCTCGTGGTTTGCTTCTTGATGCCGACCTCACCGCCCCTACAGAGCTTCCGGGTCACCTTCAAGAGGAGCTTGACAATGATCCAGAGATCATGGACCTTACTGATAAAAATTGCAAACTCTGGGAAGCAATCAAGGCATTAGGATTCAGAACTGTGATTTCTGCAAAGGGCCACACCCCTCTCTATTGGGAGAAGAAACGGGTGCTTGCTGATTTGAACTCTCATAAGGTGTGGCTACGAAACGAGCTGATGGAGCAAGCGAGGAGTGAGCATTTTCGGAATGCCCCCACGAAACGGCTTAACACCCATCTCAATGGTACGGACGGGGATGCCGCCAGCCCCCAATCTCTACCCCTACCGAGGCTTCTAATCGAGGAACGACGGCTGATTGTTGAGCTCATTCGATTGAAAACATCAGAGCTGAGTGAGGATGAGATTCTTGAACGGCGTTTTGCGCGCATGGATCTCTGGGTCAGATTACAAGACCGAACAGAGACCAAGCGGCCGGGACTCCAAAGAAAGCGACACCAATAATTGTATGTATAGTGATCCACTCCGTATCAATGAATCTCGATCTCCGTCCTCTTGATGTAGACAAGGGACTGTGTCAATTCCACGAGACAATCACAATGGGAAAATCATTATCTGGTGGGATGGCGCTTTGGGAGGGACAGGGGCTGCCAATCTGTCAGGGGTGCGGTGCTGACGAGGGAGCCCTCGTCGGCTCAACCATAACACTCCACTGCCATTCACTCCTGCAGCAATGGCACCCTTCCTCCCTGCGGAAATGATTTTATGTATCCTTGAGCACATACCAGACATCTTATATGTTCATGTAATTCTCCTCCTCAAAGCGCTCGACGGTCCTTCTTTTTCCCGGGGCCGCCATAGTGAATGCATGTCTGGAGAAAAATCAAAAGTTATGCACGAAGGAATCCCTTCACTCATGCCTGGACCTGTGAACCTGCTTCTTGTGGCCCCGCGGCTATCAGAATGTATATGGTCTGATGCTCAAATTCAGGGAGGGTTCTCCTCCCCCTCCAGCACATTCTTCCTCTAGACTGCGGACAACTCCAACTCCAACCTGAAGTTGGATTGAAGTTGAGTTGGTTGACTCTGACTCAACTTCTGAAGTTCCAGAAGTCAGAGTTGTTGTTCAAATATAACAACCAAACAATACTATATCAAAAGCTTGGCCAAGAAGACTTCTCTTTATCACAGGCTTTTCAGGTTGTGAGGGAGGGCCACCCCAAGAACAGTGAGATGGCTTCTTGAGCTCTTCCCGAACCTCTTTGTAGGCTTCTTTGTGTCCTATTAGTCAGCTTCTGGAGGGAGCATATATGCTTAGGTGAGATAGCAGGGAGGAAATGAGTCTACTATTCATGCTACGCCCGAGAAAGGAGAAACATATATAGTGAAGGGCAAATTTTGGATTATGGAGTAACTATTCTATGAGTAAAGAAGCCTATGTTCCACTTAAAGCCATTGTTGATTGCCCTTGTGTGAGACAAAAGCGCCCCCGTCCCCATTCTCAAGACTAGCCCCCTCAATGACCTTCATCATATCCTTCACAGACTCCTCTGGTGTTATCGGGCCCTTGAAATCGGGTGCGTACGTCTTAAAGGAGGCCATCGTCTTGTATATGGACTCTGATTGGGCTGAACTCACTATTACACTGTCAGAACGCCCCCTCCATCAAGGAACGAACGCAGAAAGGGCCAAGGAGTACACATACACTCATTGAAATGTCCCGTATCAACCAATCCAGGAGAAATACTCATAAACAGCACCCCGTCCTTGGCGTACTGGGCGCTGAATTTGGTAATCGCGAAGTTCAGCGCAGCCTTGCTAATTGAATACGAAGGAGCCACATCGATGTTGAAGTCCAACACCAACTTGGGATCAGCTTGGCCGCTTGATAGCGCGATCACCTTCTTTGCGCTTCCCTTGAGGATGAGCGGAATGAAGATGTTGAAAAGGTGGATTTGTCCAACGACATTAACTTGGAAACATTCAAGGAGATTGTCTTCTAACGCGCGGGGATTCTGTCCTCTGTTTCAATGTTAGTGATGGGAACAGAGGGAAAGAATGGCGGCCAGAGACTCCAACTCACAGAACTCCAATAGGGTCAAACGCATCATGGTGAGAGATGAGACCGGCATTGGCAATCAAGTAATCCAGGCTTCCTCCGGTAATCTTTGCGGTGTCGGCCGCCGCGGATTGGAGGGCATCGTAGTTTGTGATGTCAGCCTCCAGAATATGGATGTTGGGACGTCCTGGTAGTTTCTCCAAGACATTTTGTTCGGTTGCGGGTTTATTGCGGACGATTGCAATTACAGTGTTGTTTGCATCCAAAGAGAGTTGGTCAAGGAAAGCCCACTGAATATAGTTGTTAGTTTGAGCCTTCCTTTGCTAGGTCGGGCACTTACACCAATGCCTCGCGAGGCGCCAGTGACAACGTAAGAAGACATCATTCGTAGCAGCGTGTGTTCTCGGTGCTTTTGATGAAGATGCGATTCCAAACGCCGCAGCAGCCGAATTTATACATCATCTTGTCAATATTCTGATTTCAAAGCAATGAGCGTGAAGCTCCACGATGGTATCCAGTTGAGACTAAGCGCCGTAGATAGTTGCCGATGTGTTGGTTGTTATTTCAAAGCGCTGGTCATGAAGCTCAACTCAAGACTGTCGAAGACCGTTGGCGTCGCGGAAAGTTGCCCTGTAGTTGCTGGTGGATCATCAATGATGCGCCAATTGGCTGGGATCCATAGCCGCCACAATGCGGCAAAAACAAAATCCAAAAAAAATAAGTTTTATGATTTAGCAAATCATGAATTGATAAATTATAATACGGCAATTCTGAATGGCTTGATTTTAAAATCAGATGACTTAGTGTGCTCATCATGTGATATACATTCTTCTTCACCACCTTTTTTATGAGCCTAACTTTGAAGCTTAATACAAATCTATACTAGTCCACACATTTGAAAATCCTATTATTAAGCAGTCAAAACTCAATGCCTGAATCAATACGGAGTACACTCGGTATTTAGATCATAACTACTCCGTAACTTTGCTCAATATCTCTTGTCTGATCTAAACTCAAAGTAGTGCATGTGATGGCGAAATCACATTCTGCCAGATTTCAGAATTAGAGTTTGCAATGTCTTTTTTTGCATTGTGGCGGCTATGGGCTTCCCCTATCATCCCCGTCACAGGCAAGTTTCCGCGGCGCTATTTTCGATTTCATGTTTGAGATATGGCAAGAAGCTGTGGAACTTGCAGAGGTGACATTGCTCCCCGAGCACGCTGTGCATAAAAGAATCTCGTCGAAACCAGTCGACTTGCTGACGATACTAAGCCAGATCGTCGAATTTCCTGCGACCGCGCCATCCCAGTATGCACACAATGTATTCGGGCACATCGGGTGTGTCAAGGCTATCAGCTTCGTCTCAGTTGGCCTAAAGACAACGACGCAAGGCGTGCCGTGGTTGTAAGGCTGTTGCGTCAACGTGCCGCCCGTACCTCGTACTCCCTAGTGAATGCATCAACATCCGACATTAAATTACATCAGTATTTATCAGGGGTGTTATCTAAAGGTATGTCGATTCTCTCAACACAGAGAGATGTCGAGCTGACAAGTGTAGAACATGCGCTGCTCGCACAAACGCCACTGGCGCCGTTTAACCCGGTGCAACTACGCGATGCAGATGCCCACTTATTCCAGTACTGTACGTAAAGTCCGCAACCTGGCCAAGCAGATCAAAGGGTTGATGAATTAGTCCAAACTACTGCCTCATGTTGTCTCTCAACTGTCAGCAATGATCCGGTGAATCTGGGAAATATCCTCGTCTGCATGGCTCTCACGAGGACCTCCCCGTCTGCGACGGCCATCTGGCAGGCAATGCTGGGCTTGTCGTCGCTGCATCGCTATGGGTTACAGGGTCAAGCGATTGAGTTCAAGATCTCCGCCATCGAAGCCCTGGCTGCCGCGTCGAATAGTGCGATCGGTACTGCCGAAGCAATCCAGCACGTCGCCGCCGCCATGCTCTTGTGCTCGTTTGAAATCCACAAAGCATCGTGCACCGCAGGCCAATGGAAATGGTATATCACCGGCGCTAAACAAATCATAAGCTCCCTGTCGCTTCACAGGTTTAGTGGAAACACTGATATTGGCGCTCTACTGGATTGGGTATATTATCATGATATGTTGTCGCGGTTCAGTGCCCTGCATTGGCGCCGGGGAGAAGGCACTCGGTATCTGCCGCTAGAAATGTGCGTGGAAGCTGTTCGCGAGGAATCACAATATTCTAATATGAATTTGGGATCGGCCTTGATCTTGCAATCAAGGCAATCCACTATCAATGATCTTCTACAACTCCTCGCACATGGATGTGAGATTATATCTGGAAGACCGGCCATCACCTCTCCAGAGGACAGGCGTGAGTATGAAGAGTCCATCCGAATTCTCGGCAGCCAGATCAAATCCCTCCCCATAAACAAGAGCTCAAACTCAACCCTTGAACTTTTTCACCTTGCCACACTTACTTATCTCAATCGCGCAACCGGCAATCTTCTTGAGGATGATTCACAAACTCAACGCCGGATATCGCGTGCCTTTGCACTTTTATCATCCCAAAAGTCGTGTGAGCGCCAGTTCCTGCTCTTTATTTTGGGGGGCGAGGCGCGGACAGAAGAGGATCGGCGAATGATTCTTGATCTCATTGCCAGAACGGAAAAGACAGCCGCCTCGCGTTCACTCTTTTTAACTGGAGCCTTAATCAATTATGTTTGGGTGCAGGATGATCTTGCAGATCGGGAGCTGGACTATATGAAGAAGATGAACACTATTATCAGCATTTGCAGCATCTTGCCATCTTTTGTATAGCAATATATTGGCTTTGTGCTTAAACAACTTCAAGCTATACTTAACTTAACTATTGGACGACCCGCGCATTTGGGCAGAAGTATTACATCTGCACTCATAAGTTGGCTGGAAATGAATGCTACTTTGGGCGTGCTCATCTTCTTACGCGAGCACCATAGATTCTAGGCATTCCCTATAGTGATGAGCATCACATACTCTTTGGTGCTTTCCTGCTAAATTCACCGGCCAGAACTTGCAATCATCCAGTGACTGAAGTGATGAAAGGTTGCATTAGGAGTCAGTGTTAGCTCTACTTTTGGAGGATTTGTAATCTGCAAGTTATCTTTCATGTTGTTTTGCTGGTACAGGTAAAAGTGGTCAGTGTATCAAAATTCAAATTCAAGATTGCTGATGTGGATGTTTATTGGAGTTTGATTTAGAGAATACTGCTTTCTACTGTTCACACCACTTTTATTTATAATCATCTCAGCATCACTCTTGTGTAGGTGAGGCAGCTGGGTTAAAGCAGCCCGCCTCCAGCACTTCTCTGAGACTAGTGCCAACAGAGCAATTTGGGAAAATCCAGATTCCCTCTTGACTATAGATGGTAATTGTCAAAGATCGTTTTTGAATGTCAAACTGTCACTATTGTTATTGATCAGTCAATGGAGAATTGATTATAAATCAATCACAGCACCTGTGTGACTTGTCAGCTGTGCTACTGTTGGAGATAGCAAACAAATGAGAAAAAGATTGTTCTGGGTGTATAATGTTCAGCATTCTCATTACTTGTTTGAAATACTGTTTATGAGTGCTCAACCAGCAGCAATGGCTTGTAAGATATATACCATTACTGAGTCAGTTCTTCTTCATACTAACTTGACATCCTTAGCTACATCCATGCCTGCTCTACTTCTGGAAAATGTGCAACATGTCAATCAAGAACATGTCCTGCATATTCAACTGAATACTGGTGAACAAAGAATTTTCAAATGGAATATCCCAAAAGACGATGAATGTGAGGCGTACTCCGCAGACAAAGAGCTAGGAATATACAAGAAATTTAGCAGCCTGCAAGGTCACTGCATTCCCAGATGTTATGGAGTGGTAACTTATCAGAAAGAGGAGGGATTGCTGCTAGAGCACTGTGGCTCACATACCTTTGATGATCCGCCTGAAGATGATGAAATCAGAAGAAGTTCATTCTCTATATGCGAGCCACCTGTGTCATGGAGACGTGTATCGCAGCAGGACTTGTCCATCGGGATTTCGAATTCCGCAACATCGTTTATGATCCTGTTACCCTCGAAGTAAGACTCATCGATATCGAGCCTCCACCGCCAGGATTTCGGATTTGGACACCTGGGGAAGTACGAGAAATTATGGAGGTGAATTTCCACAAGAAGTTCGGATATGAACCGGCTACTGTCACCTTCTACTGGGGATTACGTCAAATGCTGAAGGTCTTGCTGGCGCACCCTTCCTTACTTCCTCTTACAATCAAATTTTGTGTGGCTCTTATTGAAAAGAGAAATATAAGGCAACAGTGTTGTAAGTTTTGCAAAGTTCTGTCCTACTTGCGGTCATCTAATACTTTGTCCACAGTCCGAATCTATCGGCCCTCCGTATCGCCTTCAAGCGTCAGATCCAATTAGGCTGAGGCTGCTTTATGTCCAGTCCCTGGCAAACAGCATGAAACACCATACGTTGCATACCATTCTGATCCTCCCGCCCATGTTCGCTCAGCCATACTTCGGGAACGGTCGTACGAGGATCGCCATGAAAACGAAGGCGAACCAAGGTCATGCCGTCAAAGAACAACACCAAGGATGTATTGAACTGGTAGGCATAGCTATTACTTTGTTAACAATTAGGAAAAAGACTGTTCACAAAATATCAACTAACCATCGAGCTTCTTGGGTCAATTTGCGATCTGATAATGTACCACCCCCTAACATGCCTCTCCAGCAAGCAGGATGGCCATAGATAAATGCATAGTCCACTCTGACATCCGGAATTTGATGCTGGGAAGGAACCATCGGAAGGCCACCACTATTACGAAGGACGCTGATTGGACGGTATCTTCCAAGTGTGGAGACACAGGAAACAATTCACTGCACCAACTGGGCCTCGCAGATAGCCTGGACATCCGCCTTTGAGGTCAAGCTGAGGACGGTTTGTTGAGGTAATGCCGGCGCGATTGTGTTCTCCCATGTTGTCAAAAATGGATGCTGTGTATTCGGAGGTGGTGCCTGAGGCACGAAAGTATTGAACATCTCGTCCATGTCCTTGGTGGAACGCTGGCTGCTGGATAGGTGAGTACCAGGCCGCAAACGAGGTTGCTCTAAAGCAATTCGTAATGGTCCCGGAAGAGACATTGCAAGAGATTTGGATAGTAAGAGGCCGGGCATTGAAAGGCGGGTAGGAAGGGCATGATATAGACCGTCAGGCAGGTAAGCGGCTCGTCGGGCCGCTTCAGTCGAAGCTTTGGATTATTCCTGCTTCGTCCCGATATTTTTTGACCCCCAAAATTTGCTGCCTCGAACCTCTGCGAGCACTAAGCTTTGCTGCTTAGTCTAGCTATCACATTCGCTTCCGATGCGTAAGCCCCTACCTTCCTTTTTGCTTGACTTACATTGTGGCTTATGGCCCCCGAATAGAACGAATCGGAGAGAAGTCCTCCTCCTCCACTTCTGATAAGTCAGGTCTTCATGATAGTTTGAGGCTATTCAACAGTAATCACGGCATTGCATCGGAAGAGTGCAGACAGGCCAGGAATGGGTTATAGATATTTTCTGACTTGTTCTCAGTGACTTGAAGGTGGTTTTTGCTTTCTGCTGAATAACAGCATCTGATGCATCTCTGAAAGAATCCAGTTGAGAAATCGATGACAAACACAGCCACTTTTTCCAGACTCTTCTATTGTGCTCACTAATGCAAGATGGCCACAGTTTCTGTTGGCTCATTCATGATCTTTAGAATCATCAGCTTTGTACATATTTGGAATTCTTGTTTTTATTATGCTTCTCTTTCTCACCAATGTCAAATACTGTTTGACAGAAAGATGTTCCATTACTATTTTAATTATTCAATTCAGTTTATAAGAAATAGCAGAAGTGGGAAGACAATAATAGTTGATTCAAATTATTTTATATGAAGAAGACTTTATAAGATCTGAAGATTCTAAATTTGAAATATTCAATCTAGTATTGTTTTGTCAGTGGACAACAGGATCCTCCATGGCTGTCCATCCCTTTAACACACGATGTGTACTCTGAAGAGTGTCCACTGGCTTCTGGTCATGGGGCTCAATCAGCTGGGTGACGGTGCGATCGACCTGACGCCTTGTGGTGAGAATGAAACAATACCTGGCTACCAAACTCCTTAAGGATGCACAGATCGACAAGAGGCTTTTCAATCACATGGAATTTCTTCATGACTTCGGCATGTTTGCCATTGTTGATGAATTTTGAAGGGGAGACACTTCCAGACTTCATCCTCTTGCTGTTGTGCAAGAAACACTTGTCCAACAGTCCTTTTCAAGTCCTCAACCTCATTGTATGTTGAGGCTTTCTGAGCCTAAAGGCTAAACGTGTAACCTGTCTTATACCCTGTGTTCAGTATTATGTGTTTGTCATTTTGAAATTATGTTTTTCACTATCAGGGTCATAGCACTCCTTTCCTTACTTGCGACCCGAGTTAGCACATCAGTTGTAGAGCCTTTTGGTGTTGAACACCTCGAGAACCGCGCAGATGTGCCTGACAACTTCCGCTCCCCTCCCTACTATCCCACTCCCAAGGGCGGTTGGGTGCCGGCATGGGAAGAAGCCTATGCGAAAGCCCATGCCGTCGTTTCCAAGATGACCTTGGCAGAAAAGGTAAACCTCACAACAGGAACGGGCTTTTTAATGGGCCCTTGCGTGGGCCAGACTGGAAGCGCTCCTCGATTCGGAATCCCAAGGCTATGTCTGCAGGATGGCCCCTTGGGACTAAGAAACACCGATCATAATACAGCGTTTCCTGCTGGTATATCTGTTGGAGCTACCTTCGATAAAAAACTGATGTATGACCGCGGACGAGCCATGGGAGAGGAGTTTCGCGGGAAGGGGGTGAATATCCATCTGGGACCCTCTGTTGGACCTCTCGGCCGGAAACCACGGGCTGGACGAAATTGGGAGGGTTTTGGCTCAGATCCGTCACTACAAGCCGTTGGTGCTGCCGAAACTATCAAAGGCGTTCAGAGCACAGGCGTTATTGCCACTGTCAAACATTTAGTGGGGAATGAGCAGGAAATGTACCGGATGACCAATGTCGTTCAACGAGCGTACTCTGCAAACATCGATGACCGGACTTTACATGAGCTTTACTTGTGGCCATTTGCGGAAGCCGTTAAGGCTGGAGTTGGGGCCGTAATGATGGCTTATAATGATGTAGTTAACGAATCCCGAGAACTTTTCATTTAGCACTCGGAAGCACTAACGATATATATCTATAGGTCAACGGATCGGCGAGCTCTCAAAATAGCAAGTTAATAAGCGGCATCCTAAAGGATGAACTTGGATTCCAAGGTTTCGTGATGACCGACTGGTATGCTCATCTCAGTGGTGTTGCCTCTGCCTTGGCTGGTTTGGATATGAGCATGCCTGGAGATGGTAGTATTCCTTTGACCGGTAGCACTTATTGGGGAGGAGAACTTTCTAGCTCCATTCTGAATGGGTCCCTGCCCTTGGAGCGGTTGAATGATATGGTACGATTGCTCGCTGGTTCATTCGGTTGAAAATGCTGATTTGATTGGCAGGTCACAAGGATTGTTGCGCCATGGTTTAAATTTGGGCAGGACAAGGATTTTCCGTTGCCAAATTTCTCCGCTTATACGCAAAATGCTGAAGGGTTGCTGTACCCAGGAGCGTTATTTTCACCTCGAGGCATCGTGAACCGTTTCGTCAACGTGCAGGGCGACCATCACAAACTTGCCCGAGTAATAGCCCGCGAGTCGATTACATTGTTGAAGAACGATGATGATTTGCTGCCATTGGGCCGTAATTGGACTCTGAAAGTGTTTGGCACGGACGCTGGCACCAATCCCAAGGGTATCAATTCCTGTACCGACAAAGGATGCAATAAAGGAGTCTTAACAATGGGCTGGGGCAGCGGAAGCGCCAATCTGCCTTACTTGGTTACTCCTGAAGATGCCATTAGGAATATATCTAAAAACGCCGAATTCCATATCACGGATAGGTTTCCAAGAAATGTCGAAGCTGGACCGGACGATGTTGCCATTGTCTTTGTTAACGCTGATTCGGGTGAAAACTACATCTCTGTCGAAGGGAACCCTGGAGATAGAACGAAGGCAGAACTCAAACTTTGGCATGATGGGGATGAACTAATTGAGGCGGCAGCGAATAAATTCTCAAATGTCGTGGTTGTTGTTCATACCGTCGGTCCAATTACCATGGAAAGGTGGATTAATCTCCCTTCAGTCAAGAGTGTGCTCTTTGCCCATTTGCCGGGACAGGAGGCGGGAAACTCGGTTACCGATATACTGTTTGGGGATTTCAGTCCGTGTGGACACCTTCCATACACGATCCCTAAAGCAGAATCCGATTACCCAGACAGCGTGTCGCTTATCAACCAACCCTTTGGACAAATCCAAGATACATTTTCTGAGGGCCTATTTGTTGACTATCGTCACTTTCAAAAAGCCAACATTACTCCTCGATACCACTTCGGTTATGGCCTTTCTTATACCACGTTCAACTTCACTGAGCCAGCTATGAACACCGTAACTCCTCTTAGTGAGTACCCTCCTACTCGCAAACCCAAGGGCAAGGCTCCATCATATCCCAACGATATCCCGCCAGGCTCAGAGGTAGCCTGGCCCAAAAACTTCAACAGAATCTGGCGGTATATCTACCCTTACCTCGACGATCCATCTGCCATTAAGCCGAAGCCAGGATATCCTTATCCAGACGGCTATTCAACCGAGCCCAAACCAGATCCACGCGCTGGCGGAGCAGAGGGCGGGAATCCGGCACTGTGGGACGTTGCCTTTACTGTTTCCATCAAGGTCACCAATACTGGAAAGAAGGCTGGCCGTGCAGTCGCCCAGCTCTACGTGGAGCTTCCCACGGATAGCGCATATCCCACTCCGAAACTGCAGTTACGGCAGTTTGAGAAGACTGCGACATTGGAGCCTGGACAGAGTGAGGTGCTAAAAATGGAGATCACGAGGAAAGATGTGAGTATTTGGGACACAGTGAAGCAGGACTGGAAAGCTCCCGGCGCAGGCAAGGGGTTGAAGTTCTGGGTGGGAGAGAGCGTGGGTGATTTGAAAGCGGTCTGCGAGGCAGGGGAAAGTTGCAAACTTTCAGGGTAATGTAGTAATATCTTAATATCTAATCAATGTCATTCTTGAACCGAACGAGGATTTGGCTCAAAGGTCAACAGTCAAAAGTTGAGTCTACAATTCATGTAGTTAAAGCACCATCCTGGTGGTGTACTGGTTAGTTATAGTGTCACTTTCTGTGGGGGGAGAGGGGCGGGTCGCCTTTTTGGTGGAGCAGTTAGTGGCTTGGTCCAACGCATCCCACTGCTTCAACAACTATGAATGGATTTGATACCTCAGTTACACTCATTTAAACTATACATTCCAAACAACACCTTGTCGGACCCTCCTCCTTGTACTAATCATGTGGCGTAACTGTGGACCCAGGGGACCAGCCTGTGCATACACCAGCCTTTTAAAAGTACTATCGCGTGCATCCACCTTTGCATTCATCACTCACTATCTCATCTCCTCGCTCAGCTCTGGAACACTTGTCATGCAATCCTCCATTCGGCTGACTCCCGCCTTCCTCTGGAACAAGACGATTCATTTTATTCAGAACCCATGTCGCCTCTTGCCTCTGGACAGGTCCTTAAGGGTGCTAAATGGAACCATCGGATCATCAATGCTCTTTAGGGAGATGACACACACAAATCCGCGGCATTCAAAGCCGAGGTTTTAACAGAAGGATGGGATTTTTGATGCTCCTCAATGGTTTGCTACGTTGCGTCGGGTCTGCAATCTCCAGGTCTAAGCCTTCCAACCAGGGCTTTCATCAAAACGGCGGCGCCAAACGATCAACATGCGAGAGAGAACCTGAAGCGTGAGTGTGAGAGATATCTACTTCCCAGCATCGCTTCAGGCGCGTGCTTCCGGAAAATATACGACGTGATCGCCGACCCCATGAATACAGTAACGGTAATGATGGAAGCATACCGTATGTCGCCTTCGAATGGCTTGAGACCACTCTGGCAGATGTGCAATACCGGCCTGGCAAGCATAACTACGCCATAGTCAAGGAAATTGTAAAGACTGTGTTGACAAGTTGCATCATTCTCGCCGACAGGCAGCTTGTCAATACGGGTAAGACTCCTGATCTTGAAGGGTTGGCATCCGCTAATCAGCTCAGATTACAAGCTCGCCAACATCTTGCTCTCTGGCGTTGAGACGGATGATATTACCGTGAAAGTGGGAGACTTGGGACTTGGTGAGTAGGTGTCGATTGACCGGAAATATGCTTTTGCTGACTTGCTTGCAGTATTTCAGGCCGGCACTCGTTTTTCAGCCCAACCTTACGCCATGCGCGCCCCTGAAGTCTGGCAAGGCTAGGCGTGCTCTCAACCCTCGCAGGTGTGGGCACTCGCTGCAATGTTGCTCTGCTGGATGAGGCCTGGGGCTCTGGGTACTTGGGGCTGTCCGATACCCATGATTCGTGAGTCATGGTGCATCGCGAAACTCATGCGGCTTTTTCCCAGTTGGGCTGTTCCATCTTTCGACAATGATGTCCGCCAATGCGAGTTCAATGTAGCCAAAGCTCTCATTGATGAGCCTCCCCCAGTGCTGGAACAGATCTCTGTTCTGGAGGACGAGATGCTAAAGGCGGTTATGCTGGCAGAGTTGAACGGCCTGCTTCGTCTCATGTTGGTTGTCAGATCAGGTGAAAGGCCCTCCGCTACCCAAGTGCTAGCATCGAAAGAGTTGTTGGTTTTGGATAAAGCCATTGCAGGCATGAAGTAGTTAGAGGACCGAGACGCTTTCGCGCCCATGGAGAGCTGATGCATTGACCACGCACCCCGAACTTAAAGCAGCTGATCCACCAAAATTCTTGGAAAAATGCCCGCATCAATTATGCCGTCGAGTTGATTGGAATCGAATCTGGATCTTGTTCAAGGGACCGTTTGCTTGGAAACCCGATCGTTCATTGTGGTGATTTTCAACTGTGCAATCTGAGAAAGTGACAGCGTGCCAAGCATCACGTGGAGAGTATCCCGGCTTAGCTCCGACCTAGTGGCCGCCCCAGCATCCAAAATAGCATCATCCCAGGCCATCCTTAGAATTGCGCAAACTGTTCGCTGGTTGTGGATGAGCGAGCGATGACCGGAGCAGTGAGGCGGTCGCCGGATTAATGTTTGACATTATCCTGATTGCCGCTTAATCGTTAATTTCAAATTCCTTGAGCAGCTACCGTCCAAGATGCAGGGTTTTAGTAAGTCTAGCGACTTCATACAGCTTACCCGTTCAGGTACGGAGTCCTAATCTTATGTTTTCTCCTGGCAGATATGGGACGGTACGCTATTCGACTTCAGGAGCCCAAACATCAATGAGCATAGGCTGGTATTGATGATCTTTTGCAGCTATGTCCCTCCCGACCAAGAAGGTGTCACCTCCGCAAACAAACTCGCGGGCAAACACCCTCTTGGATCCCGCGCGCGCCACCTACATACGTCCGGCGCTTTGATCGTGCGATTCGAAATGCCATTTCCGATATGGTGCTCGACGTGTCAGCCACCGGACTCGGTGCTTATTGGCCAAGGCGTCCGGTTCAATGCTGAGAAAAAAAAGGTTGGGAATTACTACTCGACGCCGATATATAGTTTTCGAATGAAGCATGGCGCTTGCGGTGGATGGATAGAAATCCGGACGGATCCGAAGAATACGGAATACGTGGTTACGGAGGGAGCGAGGAAGAAAATTACAAGTGAGTTCGGGAAAGGCGATTATGAAGAAGATGGCGTGGCGGAGATCAGGGTGAAGCTTCCTGGGGAAGAGGGAGATGTTGAGGATCCGCTTGCGAGATTAGAGGGGAAAGTCGCGGATAAGACGAAATATATGAGCGCGCAAACTCGAATGGAAGAACTTTTAAAGAAGCAGGCAAGGGACTGGGACGACCCGTACGAGCAATCCCGGAAACTTAGGCGGACCTTTAGAGCGGAGAGAAGGGGAAGGGAAGCTATGGAGAAAAAAGCGGAAGTGCTTAAAGACAAAATGAGTTTGGGGATTGATTTGGTGGAAGAGAGCGAAGCGGATAACGTCCGTGCTGGGATGGTCGATTTTGGCTCGTCAGCTTCAGAATCTGTAAATGGCTTCCCTGCGCGAACGCGGACACGGCCGCTATTTGACTCGGGCCAACCAACGACATCGGAAACGTCCTCGTCTTCAGCAAGTCGTCGTCGTCCTGGAAAAAGGGTGTCAAAACGCAAAGCCGCTGCAGAGATCGCGAGTAAAAGAAAGGCGATACTCCAACAAGAAATAAAAGGGAATACGAAAGCGACGATAGATCCATTTCTAAACGATGTGAATGAAATTTGGCTCCCAGACATTAGGAAACGGAGAAAAGCAGATTTAAGGCCTAGGGGCGCCCAAAAGGATGTCGATGAAGACAGCCCGGCCATTGATGACCGTGGTACCGACAATATTAGGGACATAGAGGACAGAAAACAGGTGGCCAAATCAACCGAAAATGAACAAGGCAAAGGCGTACTGTCGTTGGTGCATTATGATTCTGATACGGACTAGATGATAATGTTTTCCCCCTGGAGAAAGGGCATGGGAGGTGTTGATCGATACGGAGTTTGGCTAAGAGATACCCCGTTTGTATATAATTTTGCAACAACTGACATTCTTATTTGTGTGACTTACGATATGGTAAGATGAAAAGGGCTCGACTGACATAGGTGCTTGTGACGGCAAATCATCATTACCTACCATGGACATGCAGAAATTTATATGGTACACTCATGCGAGGCTGTCATCATGTCATTATCATATGGTTCTGGGCTTAGTTTCCAAGCCACTTGCTGCAGCCTTGGGATCAATGTAATAAATTGGATCTCGTTCATTTCTTTGCCCACGGAGCTTTAGTAGTCATCAGGTCCGGATCAGCTCCTGAATTCCCCGGCGTGCTCTTTGCCCAGGGCGCACGACCCGATGGAGGGAGATTAATTGGCTCATTTCGCGCAGCCTGATCACCCATAGGGATATATGCGGGGACTCCAGGGTCACGCAAGCCGCCGTAACCGGCTCTTGAAGGTGCAGTAGAAGGGTACGCTGCTTGATGCAGATTAGTTGGTCCAGACGCCCAAGGAGCCCTGGTTCCAGCGTCTGCCATGGGTCTCTGGGAGACAGCGGGCGGAGCCATTGTATCTGCCGGTTGAAGACGGCTAGAATGAATAGACGTAGACGACGGGGCTGCGTTGGGATCTCGCTCCCAGCGGAATAAAGATCCAAAAGGGAAGTGTTGGACGACGGGAAATTTGGAGAGAACTTCGGCGTTGTACATTTTAATCATACCCTTGACAAAAGTTAGCAATGTGGTAGAAACGATGAGCTGCAGCCATTACTTTATTGATTTTACCCCAACCATCTCTAATGCCTGAGATATCATAGAGCATAGGACTGTGCTCCCAAAAAGGGCCCCTTTTTACATCGTGAATGAATCCAACGGCGGAAAAGTACATATTGGTTTTTCGTTCCCGCTCAACCACGTTGACTTTGGCCACCTCACTTGGCTCGGGAGCACCCGAGAGAGATCCCTCAGTTGGTGTTCTGTCTGATGGTATGCATGCTGGAGCTAATTGAGCGGACCCAAGAATATAGGGAACGAATGAATGGTCGTCCAGGCCCCATACTCCATGGGACCCAGCGGGTTCAAGAGTGTAGGTGGTTATCAGGCGGCGGATGAGCTTGAGATATCTAGTAACATGGGGACTATTAGCCTGGATAATAAATGCGAAGATTGTTTTCATGTGCTCACGGCTCGATAACACCAAGGACGATTCCCCTTTCCTCCACCCCAGGGTCGTCTTTTGCAAAGGCACCCAGTTTCCAAAGGCAGCCAAGGAACGCCAAAAAGCTCAATTCATGTCCTGTGCCGTAATCGAGCCGTTGGGAGCTCCCAAACCCCCCAGTGAAGTATGCCATCAATTCCGTTTTAGCAGTCACCGTCTCCGGGGCTTGAACTCCTTGTTGTAGAATTTCAGCTGGAAGGCACTCGTCCATCATAGCCTCTGCTCTTGATTCCATTTCCTGGCACCATTTTCGAAAACTGATATTTCCAAATCTCCGTGGCCCCGGATCTGGGGGTACTTCGTCGATGATGGATTCTAGCTTGGACAATAGAACCTGCAATCGCCTCACCGGTTCCGAGAATTTGACTGCATCTGTGCCTAGAGACCAGACTTGTATCCTTTGTGTCCCATTCTCTACAAGTTTGGCCGGAACCACAGACCTGTTAAGCTGAAGGATAAAGGTTGTGATATCCCTGTACGCGAGCGAGCTGATAAAAGTAGAAACATCCTGGTGGTCATTGATTCGTTTGGAGGGCTTTTCAAAGACGTGCGGTGTTGCGGGGTCGAGCTGCTTGAGGAACGGCGAAGAGAATGTCTCTTCCGTGGCCATTATAGATCTTCCCAATAGGGCCTGAGTCGATAGATATACGTAGAATGTGCCGGGGGTCAATTCTCACGGATACAGAAATGTGCGGCTGTTCCCTTGAGGTCACTGTTGATATTTCAATGCCAACTGCCGTGGGGTTGAAGCTCCAACACGGCCCGCATGCCAAGTGCTAAAAACAAACGCGTATGGAGTAACTACGGAGTAGTCTGGAGCTTCATCCGAAGGAAACACAGCTCTTTGCAAACGTGCAGTGAATGGCTTTTACATTTCTTAGGACATGGTACTACTCTGCGTTTCAATCCTAAATGAAGTGTCTTAAATAATGGAAATCTTTTGGATCCCGCCCAATCTGCTTTGATGAGCAACAGGATGACACCTCCGCATCGAAGCAGCGACAGTGCCGAACCTCGCGCTCAACTGTCTGTTGATCTTCTGAACAGCGTCAATGCGCACCTCAAGCGTAAAGACATGGGAAACTCACGAAGCAGGGCGCCCCTTGAACAGGACAACCCGCCTCATCTGGCGCGCTTACAAGTTGTGCCACCACCGCCTTCCGGACGGTTGCGCCGCCTTCGACGTCCGCCGGTCAGAAATCAGTTCCTATCGGCAAGGGGTGGTGTCTATTCTTTACGATTCTCGCCGCGAAAAGAGAGAAAAGGAGGGTCGCCACCACCATCACCAACCGCGTCTGCACCACCACCGCCGCCGTTAATAACTGCGCCACCTTCACCGCCAAAACGAGCAAGAGAAGAGGCATTCAATTTGGGGTACGTTATTGACAACGGCGAGCAGGACACGGGGCTCGTACAATGTGCTTTGGTAGAGGAGGAAACTGATCTCTTGCCAAAGGGTCCCCGACGGAAAGCAAGGCTTTCAGGTCTCCTTCCATGGTCACAACGTAATAAGTGCGTCAAAAGCCTAAGTGGCGACTGCAGATGCGGTCGTACCATCCATCAAGATGGGCTGGATGGGAAGAAAAAATGATCAGGAAGCTATGAGCGACATAGAAGTGCAGAGTGAATGCCGAGCCATCATTGAAAACGGAGACCGGCAAGCCGAAAACGTCACGGAGCAACTACCTGAAGAACCTAACGAAATGGAAGTTATGCAAATCGTGGAGGAGTCTCAGGATGGACGGGACGAACTTGCGGATATTTTCAGTGACTCCGAAAGTCATTACATCCTCTTGCATGATGAATACTTCCTTGAAGCTAGCCGCGTATTTGAACAAGAAAAGAATTGGTCCGCGCTCGTCTCCGAAGCAAGGGATTTGATAAATGATGCAAAGACTCAGAGGATTGGAGTTTTCAATCATTTTACGATACGCTTACTTGGGAGCATATCGGATGCGAAAGACATTTACTCGGAAAGTATGGGAAGACGACAGGATCGAGAGGACGACGCTGAAATTACGGGGAAGGAAGATGAAATTATTCAGATTATATCGGATCGACTCAGCCTGCTCATGAAAAGCAAGATGGAACTGGCGTCGCGAGAGAATTTCCCATCTCTGGTAGATGAAATTCATGGTTATATACTCCCGGCAGCCATTGGCCTGCTTCAAAGTTGTCTGATGGCACACTTCCTCGATGGGTGCCTTTCGACCAAAGGAACTGAACAATTGGTTCTCATGTTGGCTTGCTTCTCCGAGTTATGCGAGCTCATTAGCCCAAGTGAAATCCCGCTGGCTATATTTCACTTCCCCGATCGTTTAAAGACCGTGAGAATTCTCCTCCGGTTCCTACTGTATGTGTTTAGAACAAATCAGGGCAACCAAACTACTGGAAACGGATCTTGACAATCACCGAATATCATACGGAATACTGAAACTGCCTGCCCCAAGCATACAAGCCTGAAAGAAATGTAATAAGTCTGGTAGTTCTCGGGGCCACTAATAATAATGAACATGTTACATCAGTGTGTTCGAAGGATTGCTCTTTAATTAGCTCCTCCACCTGGCGGCAACATCCACTAGGATCATGCGGGGGATATTCGCTCTGATTACGGCTGATGCAGGATGCCCCTCAATTATGCTCGCGTGCTGCTGACGTTGTTTGAGAAGGTGATCTGGTTTGTCATTGCTGCTGTCGCCCTACTTTACAGGCATCCAGCCCAAGGCCTTCGCATCACCTAGAAATGGCTGCCCAATGTAAATTCGAGGCTAGTCGGGAGATCACATCACGCACAAGGGCCATTCTCGGCTCATCGTTGGAACCACGACATCAAGCTCTGCATTCAAGCTGCACGTTCTCTTCCTTTTGCTTTTCCTTCGACTTCCCCGCAGATGGTGAATGTAGCCAGTGTTGGGCGGGATTCGGCTTAAGCTCGTTTTGAAGCGCAGATTAGTCGAAGACTGGACAGCGAAAGACAATTGAATGCCGTACTGAGAACACCAGAGCAGGCAGTAAGATGGTGGTAGTAGTTCAAGCAACGACAGTTTGATCGCAAAAGTCGAGATGGAAAGACGTTGGGCCCGGGCCAGTCACGTGCACGGCAAGCTCCCCTGACCGTTGAAGCAACTTCTTTTCAACGCCTTCTCTTGCTCTGGTCAATGGTTACCGCTGAACCACAGTCCACCGTTTCTGCCTCTTTTTCAATCATCTCTTCTGTTTGTTTACAGCTTCGTGTTTTTTTTTGTTGAACGTCGATTTGTTTGATCCGTTATTAGTGGTCTGCGCAAGAGGCTCGTATAGCTCTTGCAATCGATGCGCTCATCCATTCCGACAGGGATCTAAGAGCGCGGGAAAACCATAGCACTTTACCCCTGGGCTCCAGCAAATTAGTTTCAAGGACTCTCCAGCGCCGAATTTGATGTGATTTATCCTTCGTCAGGGCTCGCAACACATTTAATTCGTTGTTGCGACATAGATTTGAGCTGCTCCCTCCTCCAGTCAGAAACTATCCTTCAGAGCGCCTCACTGTTCTGCAGTCGACTCGACCGATTTCGACGGAGGGGCTCCCAACTTGAAACGCAGTGACCTGCTTCAAGTAAGTGGCATCGTCCAGCTGATTTTGGGCAAACGGTAAGATATCTTCTCCTCTATTTCAACCTATCCTCACACCATGTTCGACGGGATTATGACCCTTTCCGAGTATCATGCTATATTCTAAGTAAAAGCAATATCTTCTTCATAACCCCTGAATTTAATTTTATATATATTTGGGACGCTTGTACTGACGAAGCTATCGTCCTTGCGTAAAGTCAGATCCGGGCTTTGTCGGCGACAATTATTCAAAAATTAATCAAACCCAACAGTCGTCACCCTACGTCTTATAATACCGGAATGGCATCTACTGAGGAGTTGGCCCCTATTGCAGAGCCTGCGGAAGGGGATACTTTAAACCCAATCCAGGAAACTGTAAATGACACTCAGGAAATAAAAGCAGAGGCAGATTCTCCCGCAGACAAAGCGCTAAGTTCGCCAGAACGCAAGGGGACACCGTCCAAGCGGCCTTTAACAGGGACCGGTCCAAAACGACCCGTGACATCTGGCACAACCCGATCTACGAAGCCGACGACCACATCCGCACGAACAGCGCCTGGAAGTGCCTTGAATAAACCCCCGATTCGGCCGGCCAATCAGACTACCACCCGAAAACCAGCCTCGAGCGGGGCTCCAGTTGTGTCCCATCGATCTCGTGTATCCATAGGGAGCTCCGCCGATGAAAGGGCTAGCCGCATTGCGAGCTCGGGCGATGAGAGCCGAAGACCTGCAGTAGCAAAAAGAGCGTCACTGACCGGAGCTACGAACACCAGAGCTTCTACGAGGATCAACTTCCGATAGTATCGGAACGTATGGGCAACAGTTACGTCGTCCAAGAACTCCCGGCAGCCGTACTACTCCCTCAGCTACGCAGAGCCCATCGAAGCCGAGTTCTCGACCTACAGCTGCTGTTCCATCAACCGGTGCACGGACAACACGTCCGGCTACAACGGGCAGGTCTTCTGTGTCTAGCTCTGATGCGACTAAACGGCGGATAACTGTTCCGGCATCTCCGGCGACGAAAAGGTCATCTGGGGAACCTTCCAAGAACCTTTCTTCGAAATCTCCAGAGTTGCAGAAAAGAATTGCGGAATATGAAAGTATAAAATCGATGCTTTTAGCAGCCATTGATGCTGATGAGACCGGGGATGATGATAAGCGTGACAGAATCCAGAGTGACGTTGATCGCGAAATCGTCAAACTGAAAGCTGGCCTGGACATTGCCAAACGAGATGGACCCGAGGATTCCGGAGCTCAAAGCGTCACTCATTTGCTCTCACAGCTCGAAGCTAGTGAAAATAAGATTTTGGAATTGCAGAAACTCTTAGATGAATCTTTATCAAAAACTGCAGACCTGGAAAAATTAGCCGATGATGCCGCTGCCGCGCAAACAGAGAATTCCGCCGAAGTTGGCATTTTAACTGAGTCTCATTCACAGGAAATAAAGGCTTTACAGGCCAACCTTGAAGAAGCTGAGGCCAAATATCGAGAACTAGTTACACAATCGACCAGCAGTTTGGAAGAAGCTAAGAGATCAGCGGTCGAAGCCGGAGACTTGAAGGCGGCGGCGCTTTTGGAAGAACAAAAAGCAGTACACGTGGCATCGCTCCAAAACCTGAAAGACGAGCTTGCCGTTGAGTGCTCTTCGAAGACCGAGCTTTCTAACGAGATTGAAATTTTGAAAGCGGACATCACAGCCCGAACGGAAGAATTGAATGCGATAAAGAAAGCGGCCGAGGACGAGAAGCAAGAAGCTAATGAGACTCAACAAAACAAACTTCAACAACTTGAAAGTGAAATGCGGGGCCAGGACACAGTTATGAAGAGCTTGAAGGATGAAATCCAGCTCCTGAAAAATTTGAAAGATCAAGAATTATCGGAAGCCCAGGAGACCTCGTCTCAGGCACAGGCTGCCCTCAAGGAAAAAATTGCGATGCTTGAAGGGAAACTGGCGCAGGCAGAATCGGACACAGCACGAGGTACTGCTGAGAACTCCCAGTTGTTGGCTGACAAGGATCAGGAAATCCAACGCCTTAGTGAAGTTATTGAGAGTCTTCAACAATCCATCGAAAATTTGAATGAGTCCAAATCAGAGGAACATTATAAGCAGATTCTTGAGGTTAGCACTGTCCATGACCGAGCGATTGCGTCTCTGAAAGCAGAGCATGATTCTGTGTCAGCCAATTTGAAAGCCGAACATGAACAAAAGCTCGCGGAAATTGCAGATGAGATTAAAAGTTTGAAAGAGTCACAAGAACGTGAAATTGCGGACCTTAAACAGAAACATGAGACCTCCCAAGGTGGACTTGATGCCCATATTTCCGAACTTAACGCTGATAAATCGCGCTTGGAAATTGAGATTGACGAAGTAAAATGGTCACATGAAGTTGAAATCGAAGAGTTGCAGAACAAGTTGTCTGAAGGTGAGTATGCGTTGGCTGAGGCTCAACGGACGAGCGAGGACAACAACGCAGCCCAAAAAGAAGCCAGTGCAACTTTGATACAATCTCTCGAAGACAAAACTAAGGCAATGGAAGCTGAACTAGCGGAAAGTAATTCTCGTGTTCAACTCCTGACTGCTGATTTGGAGGCGGAGAAAGCTCAAGTTGAAGGACTGCGGAAAGGACTCGAGGCATTCGAAGCCGATAGTAAGGGGAAAGACCAACATTATGAGGCGCAGATCGCAAAGCTCAGAGCTGATGCCGAAGCCATCACTACATCAATGGAGGAGAAAACCATTGAGCTTAAACAGGCGGAAGAAAGGCATCTCGCTGCTCTGAAAGACCTGTCAAACACTCATGAAACCGAGCTCGCGGCACTCAAAGCTGAGTTGCTTGAATCCCATAAAAATTCGCTGGGAGATATCCAGCGGAAATATGACGAACTTTCAACCGCAAAATCGGAGCTGGAAGCTGGATTTGTAGGCCGTGTTGAGGCTCTCAAGGAAGAGCATGCCACAGCGCTTGAGCAGCGGGTGGCTAACCTTGAAGAATCACACCAAAGTGCTATTGATCAATTGAAAAAGGAATTCGAAAACTCTCTAGCAAAACAAGGCCAAGAATTGGAAGTTTTACATAGTCAGAAATTCGAGGAGCTGGAAACGACACACGCGAAAGCGATCGAGGAGTTGCTTGCTGCTCATGAGGAAAAGTTGAACAATCTAAGAGAAGAACTTGAAGCGGCATCGAAGGAAAAGTTAGCCGAGGCAGAATCGTCACATTCTGCTGCTCTGTCCGAACTTCAACAACAAGTTACAAAGGCGCAAGAAGCTGCTGCAGACACCTCGGAGATCGATTGTCTTCGGCAAGAGCTGAGTGACCTTGTTTCGCAATTAGCGAAAGTCGAACAGGAAAAGGCTGATGTTGAGACGACCTTGCAATCAGCACAGAATTCACTCTCGGAACTTGAGAACCTGCGCCTCGATTTGGAGAGCACCAAAGCCCAACTTTTATCCGCCAACGCAGGCCTCTCCCAACTCAGGCAGACTCATGAAGATACCATCACAGTCGCTGAACTGCTGAGGACAAAAGCCACCACGACCGAAGCGAAACTGCACGAAGCTGAAGCTAAATCTGCAGATCTAGAGAAGAATTTAAACGCCTTGAGCGAGAAAAACTTTTCGCTTGTTGAGCAACTGCAAGAAGCTGAAACGGCTGCGGCTAAAACCAACAGACGTATCCGAGAGCTGGAATTCGATCTTTCCGAGGCCGCAAAAGGCAAGGAAAGCCCGGTTGCTGTGTCAAATGGCGATGCTCCGAAATCTAAGGGTGGTCTGGCAGATAGTAAATGGGCTGTTCCAGACGATGAGGACCAGTCCAATGATGCTGCCGGTAATCCTGTAGGAGAGGACAGCGGCCTGGCCGTGAAGGAAGGTGAGGGCCTTGGTTCTTCTATTCAAGGAACGGTGGGCTCACTCCGTTTCCCTTTATATCCCATTTTTCGATTCTTTCGTTCTTTGCTCCCATATTATCGCAACACAATGCCTGTTTTTACCCCGTTTCACACATATATTGACCGTTTCTTTTCACTAGATGGCCAGCATCCGGGAACAGTTGCGGCAGCTTGAGGATGAAAATGAAGGTCTGCTAGACGAGAGTGCGAGGTAGGTTAAGAACTACCTTCTTTTTCTCAGGGGACTGGTGATCTAATAATTTCTTTCATTTAACTGTCAGAATCATGGATATTCTCTCCCAAACCGATCAGGGCGCTTCTCCTCCATTTACTCCCGACACCCCTAGCATATCCAATGGCAGTGAAGCTATGGATGGAGCCGCCGTTTCAACTTTGACTCATCGACAGTAATTGCCTCTTGGTTTTTGTGATCGGTATTTTCTACTTTATTTCCAGGGCGGCTGTTACTGTTTGAGATACCTACTCCATTTGACTAGGTGTAAACCACACATGTTTGGGCTCTTACATCTCAGCGGGCCAAGCCTTTATGCGCGTTCCAGATCTTCATTCTCTTCAATGTGCTATTCTGCTGCCTTTATCTTGGCTCCTGTTAAGCCTTCTCAGTAAACTTCCTTGTAATTCAATTTGCTATGCACAGAGCATCATACTTGTGCATTCTGAGGCGCGTTTGATCTCGCACTGTTCATATCCTCACCACTCACTCGTCCCTGCTTGGACCTGATCTTCGACACTCTTTGTACTTAGCATACATATATACAACGAGGCTAGCAGACAGTTGAGAATTGTCAATCTTACTCTCAAATGCTCTGGATAGAATGGATTCTGGAGAGAAGAAGGGGAGATAGTTAGGTACATCATTGCCGGGTGTCGGAGAATCCATAACCCGGGCGGTGGTCAACCTGCTTGGTTAGTCACCGAATTCTGATGCCAGTCGGTCGCGGTTAGGCAACTTCTTCACCGAGGACCAGCCCGGTTCATTCCTTTGGGCTTTTTAACAAGTGGCTTTAAATCAGTTTGGGGGTAACCTTTGATCCAGCTGAAATGCCTGGAGCCGTATGATTCATCAGCGACCAGCCTAGACTCCAAGGGCTACCAACAAAGCTGGGAAAGAAGAGCGTCTATGGAGACCAGTTCCTCTCGCACTAATAATGGGGATGAACCGCTTGCAAACTTGATTGCTCCGCAAAGTGGTTGAAGGGAATCAAAATGGGGAAGCGAACGGCCCCATCGCGCGGGACCCGTCAAGCTGGAAAAGGCGTGGGGTCCGAAGCCCCAGCAGATGACTCTATCGCAGATATCTACCGTGATATGCTCGTTGAGGCCCATCCGACGATAAATCAACTACCAAACGATGTTAGGGCCACGAAACGGCGGAGGGTCGGGGAGCGGTCGACCCCGGCTTCTGACCCTCAACCGGTACCACAGGACCCAGCGGTGGCCGTCGAACGAACCGTTGGCAAGGCTCCTCAAACCGTTTACGATATCGATGCGTCGGATGAGTCAGAAGTTGACGACTGGGAGGACGTTGAGCCGCCCTCCGTGCTCCCCATACAGGAATCGAGTCCGTCAGCTTCTGCCAACAGGCAGGATGATGTTGAGCTGCAAATTACGCTTGAGAAGCCTGAAGTGAAGGACAAACAAAAAGCTTCTTCGCGTCGAAAACCTGTGTCCGGCGCTGAGAAAAGATGCCGCCTGGATATTCATAAACTTCACCTACTCTGTCTGCTCGGTCATGTGCAGATGCGAAATTCATGGTGCAACGATAGTAAAGCACAGGTATTCAGCCCTAAAAAGGAAGACATACGCCAGTTCATATTACTAATTCTGTCCAAACCTAGGGAAGTCTGAGGCGCTTGTTATCCAAGCGCATCATTTTGCTGCTTCATCCAAAGACGGATATGCCCCAATTCAACCGTTCAACCACATTTGCTGATGGGCTAAAACAAGCTTCTGATACGTTTCGCCGAAGATTTAAACCCACTGCCCTCGGAATGAGGAGGCCCTTTTGGCTTGATAATCTCGATACAATTCAGAGCTCAATTGTTCGTCGCATAATCTCCACTCTCAAGCTCGTAGATGCTAATTTTAGGAGCAGACGATCCCCGATTCTACAGAGATCTTGTTATCCAAGGAGGATTTTCGGAAACATGCCATAAGTATGGAAGGGTCTCGTGACCTTGGGGCGCAGTTGTTTTGCACTATGCTTCGTGCCGTGGGCGTGGACACTCGGCTTGTCTGTTCTCTTCAGCCTCTGCCTTTTAGCGGAGTGGCGAAAGGAGAAGCGCCTATGAAGTCTGCCAGGGAATACATAATTTTACCGGACGATAATGAAAGGGCTTCGAGCGAGACAAGTGGCAATAGTGCCCTTGATACACCCAAGGCAAAAGATACGCCTCCACAGAGAATGCGCAGGTTCGGGCAGCCGCGATTTTCACCTGGCCCGTCGAAAAGTCCGAAGCCAAAGTCTGCACCAGGTATGGTGTCACCACTCCGCATAGAATGCGTATACACTGACCATTCCCGTAGTATACTCACCGGTTGCTTCCGAATCATTATATCCTATCTTTTGGGTTGAAGCTTTCAACGAAGCAATGCAGAAATGGGTGGTCGTGGATCCCATTGTGACGAATACCCTCGGGAAGCCGGCCCGATTCGAGCCACCTGCTAGCGACCGCTATAACAATATGAGTTATGTTCTTGCTTTCGAAGATGACGGCTCAGCTCGCGATGTGACAAAACGTTACGTCAAATCCTTCAATGCAAAGACCCGGAAAGCTAGAGTTGAGTCTACCAAAAACGGTGAAAGCTGGTGGGAGCGTACAATGCAATCTTTAGAAAAGCCGTTTTTGGATGATCGCGACCAGTTAGAAATCGGCGAACTCACCGCGAAGGCTGCGGCTGAGGGTATGCCTCGAAATGTCCAAGACTTTAAGAACCATCCGATATACGCTCTGGAAAGGCATCTCCGTCGCAATGAAGTGATCCACCCCAAGAGAGAAATTGGTAAAGTTGGATTAAGTAAATTGTCCACGAATAGCAGAAGCCGGCCTTTAGAACCTGTCTACCGACGGTCAGATGTCCACGTTGTGAAAAGTGCTGACGGGTGGTACCGGCAAGGCAGATGTATAAAGGCTAGTGAACAGCCGCTGAAAAGGGTCCCAACGTCGAATAATAAGGTAAAACTCGACACAAACAACGATGATGATGCCGAGACAACTCAAGAAACGCCGATGTACGCGGTTTTTCAAACAGAAATATACAAACCGTCTCCCATCGTGGAAAATCGCGTCCCGAAAAATGTGTATGGAAACATTGATGTTTATGTTCCGAGTATGGTACCAGAAGGGGGATTTCATTTGAAACACAACGATGCCGCCAGAGCCGCGAAGATTTTAGGCATCGATTTCGCGGATGCCGTGACCGGATTTCGATTTCAAGGTAGACATGGGACTGCGGTGATTGAAGGAATTGTCGCCTCAGTACAATATCGTGAAGCTATTCTCGCTATCATCAGCGGCTTAGAGGACGAACGCATGCAAGCTGAGCAAGATCGCAGGACAATGGCGGCCTTGCAAATGTGGAGACAGCTACTGCTAAAGCTGAGGATTGCCGAACGCGTGCAAAGCTACGCGTTTGAGGGAGAAAATGACGAGACGACAAGACATGAAAATGATCTATCGGAATCTGACGTTGAGGAAACTGGTGGTGGCTTTTTTCCTGAAGTGGATAATGAAGCTGGCGAACCGTCCACTGCGGTAGACCAAGAGTCATCTGTACGGAACTCAACAATTGGCGATGCTGTCAATGACACGAGTCGCCTCCATCAGCCTCGAGATAGCGGGTTCATTGCCCCGGAACTTTCTTCAACAGCAATCTCGACTTCCTGTGGTACAAGTAGCATGATACCACGAGCCGGATTTCCTCGCACAGCCTCTCAATCTCAGTACAGACTTGTGGTAGTGCCCGCTGGAACACTGCCTCTCTCTGGCTCACTATCCAATCCGGTACCAGCACCAGCAGCACAACAATGTCAAGTCCAAGAGGATCCCCAGATAAGCGCCTCCAGCCCCGTAAATGAACTGCCTCTACACTCAATGCGAGACACTTCCGGTATCAGCCGGTCTGCCAGTGCGGAAGAGTTAGCGGCTTTACCAGACCTGGTTCATAATGATTCGGATAGTGAGATAGACGATCAAAATTCCATGATCTCCCATGACCCGGAAGACGAGGACGCCGAGCCGGAATGGTTGCTCTCCGATTAAAAACATGACTTTTGGTTTAGAAGATGTGAAATGTGTGCAAATTTGACTAAGGCTAGCATGCGAATTTGTTTTGGGACGCACGAGATACCATTTCCTTTACTGGGTGCGTTGGCGGGCGTACGATTTAATATTTATTTGGTTATAGGGATATATTTTGATATGTAAAGGGAGCGACTACAACGCTAATCCGGAAGAACTTAAGAGGGAAAGGCCCTAAATCACGGCTGAGACGCCGGCAGCTGATACTCCGAACATTCCAAAAGTTTTGTTTTCTAGGTTGGTGTAATCGTTTACGTTTGCAAAGACTGCCGCAAAGCCTTAATCTGCTGCTGGACTGCAGACTTGCTCGTGCCTCCGATGGCAGATTTCATTTCGACTGACCGTTCGTAGTTGAAGACTTTGAGTACATCGTCGCCAATGCGTTTGTCAACAGATTTTAACTGCTCCAACGTCAGTTGATCCATGGGTTTCCCTTCCTTCTCGGCCAACGCAACAGCGCGACCAGCAATATGGTGTGTTTCTCTAAATGGGAGGCCCTTTCTGACGAGGTATTCAGCCAGGTCCGTAGCTAACATATCTGGGGTCAGGGCTGCTATCATTTTGTCAGGGAATGTTGTCAGGGTCAAGAGAACGCGGGTAGCGATTTGTAAACTGTCTTTAACCGTCTTGACATGTTCGATCATGGGCTCGACACTCTCCTGCAAATCTTTGTTATATGTGGATGGAATACCCTTGATAGTCATCATCAAACCGGCCATTCCACCAAAGACTCTACCACATTTGCCCCGGAGGAGTTCGAGGGAGTCGCTGTTTTTTTTCTGTGGCATGAGGGAACTGCCAGTGGTATACGCGTCGGAGAGCCGTACGAAGCCAAATTCAGTCGAACTATAGAGGATAAGGTCCTCGCTCCATCGAGAAATATGGAGCATGAGCATCGAGCCCCATTGCATGGCTTCGAGGATGAAGTCCCTGTCGCCGACGGCAGCCATGCTGTTCATAACTAGCCCATCGAAGCCGAGCTCCTTTGCCATGGCTTCGCGGTCGATTTTGAATGCGTTCCCCGAGAGAGCCCCGCAACCTAGGGGGCACTTGTTGACGCGGGCGATAACTTCTCGTAGTCGTTCGAGATCGTTCAAGAAGGAAGACCCATAGCTCAACAACCAATGGCTCCATCTTACGGGCTGTCCACGTTGAAGGTGCGTGTAGCCGGGGATCAAGTATTCAATATCAGCCTCCGCGCGGTCTGACACCGTACGGATCAACTCGACCAAATACGACTCGATAGTTTTCAGCTCGTCTCGCAACCATAATCTCAAGTCTGTCGCAACCTGATCATTTCGGCTCCTGCCCGTGTGTAACTTCCCCGCGATATCCGTGCCAATGACCTCACCCAATCTGCGTTCGTTGGCTGTGTGAATGTCTTCGTCGACACCAGGGCGTATAACGAAAGTGTTATTTTCCCACTCTCCGCGAATTTGCGCGAAACCCTTTTCGATGGCCTCGAATTCGGCCTGCGTGAGGATACCCGTAGCCACATTGGCTCTAGCAAAGGCAATTGAGCCGGCAATGTCTTGAGCATAAAATGCGCGGTCGAAGTAGATAGATTCGTTGTATGCAACCATCAATGGGTCAGTTGCACCGGAGAATCTGCCGCCCCACAGCTTGCCGGCGGCGGGTTTCGAGGAAGACTGAGATTCAGAAGCCATGACTGAGCACTGTAACAAGCCGGATAATAATCAATCGGTGCGTAAAGGTGCAATTCAAGTTGCGGGTGCAGCAGACTTGAGATGGAGGGGCATTTCACCGCTTGCGCTGAGTCATCGTTCTGGGTTGATGCCAAGAGGCTGGCTGGTGGGATAAGATTATGTAATATGCTTAGTAAGACACGCGTCGCGTTCCGTGTTTAGTTATGTCATCACACGCGGCTGCCTTCCAACTCAACTTATCAACGTGACAGCATCACGAAGGGCCCGGATTGAGCCCTGAGCCAGCCCGGTTCCAGCCCGGAACAGAACCAGCTACAACCCAAACACATATCGACATGACGAAGAGGAAGAGATTCTCAGCGCCCCGGCCACGAGCAAGAAACAGAAATGTCGCAGGTAGCCCGGTGACTCAACGCCGACGATATCGGCTGTCATTAGGTGGCAATACTCGAAGCCAGAAAACGCTGACACAAATCAATTTTGTGAATCAGCCGTCCATGCGCGAGTCACTGAGTGACTTGGACTTGGAATATATTGAGGACGAGGAGAGCAGACAAGATGCTACTCCACCAAAAACCCGCTCTCGCCGAAGAAAAGCAGAATCTAGCGTCAGAAATGACAGACTGATTCAACCCGCAAACACTACTTTAACGCAAATGGGCTACGGAACGATACAAAGCGACAGTGATGAAGATGATTGTCTGACATTACCCACTGAGCGAACTGTACCTGCCCAGACTCGGAAACGGAATTCGCGTATTTTGGAGCCAGCAGAAGGGGAATCACCTCTCCACAACATATCAGAGGTAGAAACAAACGGTTTTGTTCGCCCGAGAAAGAGAAGAATAAGTTGTGAGAAAGAACACAGGGTCAAGAGGCTAGATGACAAGCACAGAACGGATTCAGATTCTTTTGTTTTAAAGAGCAGTGACAAGCCACATGGCTCTTCCAAGCCTAAGAAGATATCTAAACATGTCCCTTCACCTGCGCGAAACATAACAAAGGCCTCAGACCAAAATAAAGCTAGGCTCTTTAGCTCGCCAATCACACCCCAAAAAGTGCGGCCGCGTGTTGTCCCGTCATCTCAATCCCCGGAGAGCCCAGAACTGGTGCTCCGAAGTGCGAGCCACAAGGTCGCAACTACTCGATCTTCACTAAAGTCGCAATCTGACGATATTCCTTATGACCACATAACCAATGTCCGCATCAATGGTTCTCCATCTCCTTTTGGAGCCACTGTTAACACGGACTTCACCCAAGCAGCCTTTTCACTACCTCCCCCTATCGACCAGGTGTTAGAATCACCAAGTTTGCACACTATAAACGGCAGATCAATACGAGATAGATGCCCTTCCTCTCCCCTGTCTTCAGTATGCTCTCCGGAGGCCCCATCGAAGTCCTTCCTTGGAGAGATCCAACCTACGTTGACCCTAGGGCGACCTGTCTCTAGGAGCTCCGCCCAATCCAAGGGAAGCACGCGACAGATTGTATACGAAACCGACGGTGAAACTGACAGCCAATCCGAAAGGATTTTCGTTCCTACTTCCCAACTGGCACCGCATGATAACATTCCGTCAGGGCCAATTGTTCACGGCTCTTCCCCCCAGTCCCCAAGCCCTAAACCACAGGGTGAATCAACGGAAGCCGTTCCAAGCATTTCAGACCCAGATGCCTCTCTCCTTTATTCCCGTCATTACCTTACTTACCCTTATGAGAAATATATGGGAACACCGCGTCGAGGGGATATGGGGGAAATATTCGAAGGCCATTTCGAAAGCCCTTCGGATTCCATAGAGCCATCTCTTCCTGTACCCCCTCATCTAAACAATCGTACATCTATTCCAAAAGAGCTGAATCTTACAGAGGACTTATCAACGGAGTCCGTTCCCGAGTCCTCGCAGGTCCAACAGCACGACGCTGAGATCCAGAATACGCAACCACGCACATCGCCGGCACCTATAGTTCTAATAGAATCATCTCAAGAACCCACAACTGGAACTAATAACACTGGACCACAGAGCGACCCTCGAGGAATCCTCACCACAAGCCAGCTGGTGCCTGAGAATTTGATGGACAGCATACCGCCTCCGCCAGGTTGGATGCCTAGCCAAGTTATTGACCAAGAGGACATATGACCCATACTATGCGATGCTTGAACGATTACTGTTACTAGAGAAGTGCAACATGTTTAGTGCCATAGCACCATCTAGAGTACATATTTATTTAGAGTACATACCTCATGATATACCCAGAGAGTGAAACGGATAGATGTTAGATGATAAACCAATATCCCCATCTGCTTGATTCTCCATCGTTTCCGGCTCGATATCTTGGCCTCCAGTCTGTAGTTAGTCGTGCATTGGCGGTTACCAAGCCTTGGGCGTTTCTCCGCCGGAGTTTAGGTCATTCCACCTTTCCAAAGCATGTGCAACAACCCCGAGAAACATACTCACCGCCAACCATGCCCTTCAACTCTACGTCTTCCGTTGAGGCCAACAGATTGAATGTGATGGTAATATAACCACCGACTGTCGCTTTTTACACGTTTCCATTCGCCCCAGCCACCTTTTTCCCGCGGAATCATGGACGCTGCCTACGATCACATCCAAGAGGAAATCCTCGCATCTCCAGACGCCGATAAAGATCCCCAAGCCGAAATTTCCACTCCATCCGACTCATCGAATCAGCATAATCTAAGCGCCGAGTTTCAAGAAACCTTTAGCGCTTTTACCGCGAGCCCTTGGGGTGCCCGTCTCGGTGGCCTTTGGGGAAACGTACGCCGACAAGGAGAAAATTACTATGAAGGGGCAAGACAGGAATATTCTGCTGCGAGTCAGGAGGCATTTAAGGGGTTTAGCGATTTGAGGAATACAATAATTGGACGGACGCGAGGACTGTCGTTGGGCGGATTAGCTGCTCATGGCGAAGAAGCGGATGGCGGCGATGATCCCACGACGCCAACATCTCCAAAAGCTGGCGAATCATCCAAGGAGATGGCGAAAGATGGTTTAAGTGATGCGCAAGTATCTGATGGAGATGGTTTCATCTCCCGGTTTCGCGTGGAAGCGGCTAAACGGCTGAAGGATATTGAACGCGCTGAAGATGCGGCCGATGAAGCGTTGCTGAGGTTTGGGAATAATATCAGGGACTTTCTGCGCGAGGCTGTGACTATTGCTCCCCCGGAAGACGGAGAGAGTGGTTCGGGCAAGACGATGTTCGAGAGTAGAGATATTGATGGAAAAAGAGTGATTCATACGACAAGATTCGAAGCACAGTTACACGCTATCCATTCGAACCTAGAAAGCTTTTCTAAGGATCCGGATAGTATTGAATGGGCTAAATGGAAAGATGGATTCAAAATTGATGATAAAACCGGTGATGTATCTACGGATCTGGAAACGTATCCAGAATTGAGAAGGGCGATGGAGAGCCTCGTCCCGGAGAAGGTGGAATATGTTGACTTTTGGAGAAGATATTATTTCCTACGTATGGTTATTGAGACGGAAGAAAAGCGACGAAAGGAACTATTGCAAGGTATGCGCCTTTTCGACCCACTCATCCCTGAATTCAAGAATCTGTTTTGCTGATATTTTCATTTTAGCATCTACCGCAGGAGACGAGGAAGAGGTTGCCTGGGACGAAGACTCTGATTCTGAAGCCGAGACGCCATCCACACCACAAGTCACAATTAACAAGGCACTTGAGCCATCAGACACCACCCCCGTCGCAGCGTCGTCGTCCATGTCAAAGGATAGCTTGAAGCCATCAGAACCACGCCGATCCAACGACCAACAATCCCAAGCCGACAGTGATGCAAGTTATGATGTCGTTAGCGGTGCAACGACTCGGACTCCAGGGAGCCCAAAGGAGCCAGGGAAATCTTCGGCGACGCCTGCGAAGCCAGTAGAGGACAGCAGTGATGAGGAAGACTGGGAATGAGTAGGAGGAACGCTTATTTCATTTTCATTTATTTTCGGCCAGTTTTCCTTGTTTTAATATTCCCCGGATCTTTTAGTTGCATGGTACAATGAACTTTTATTGCTGCTTGGAATGTATTGTGGACAAGTTGAGACGAGAGATGGGCTCACTTCTCCAGTAGGGCAATGTGATTTTACAATTATGGCGTCGGTTGATTAAAGCTTTCCTACTTTTGGGTTATAAGTTTATCTGATGTAGAAAATCATTATTGGTTTATGGAGATTATAAACTCATGTTTGCGTACAAAATCGATGACATCTCCAGTTGTGAAATATCGGTATCCAATTTGGGTAACCCATAGATTCATGCGCTAACCAACGTAATCGCCTGGTATATGCCTTGACGAAAGTTCATTTTCATTGATAACTTCATATTTGTGCTCACTAATCAGATAATCTGTCCCTCACCGCATAAGAGGGCTACTTTCTTTCTGAAAGACTCTTCGACCGCTTCGTTTTTGCCGGGACGTCTGAAGCACTGTCACCTTCAGTATCAGGTCTACTAGGAGTTGGCGAGGCGGTCGCCTGCCTGGAACCATATCCGTCCAAGTGTCTTCGAAAGCGGCTTTGATAACGCGCCTCGTTCGCCTGATGCCCCTTTGATAGTGGAGTAGTGTTCAAGCTATGCGGCTCAACGCTTTGTCTCAAACTAGAAGGGCTCGTTGGCCAAGTCTCTTGACCCTGACCCCTCGTGTACTGGTAATCCTCTCCGCGTCGCTTAAGGGGGCTTTCATCGTATGGATCCCAGCCAACCTTTTGGCGTGCTTCGGCACGTACTCGTTGGCGATGGTGTTCGTCACCGCCGGCACCAGTTGTGGAAGATTCTTCAAGAAAGAAGTTGAGGAGCTCGTCAGGGATAGAGAGATGAGACTGTTGTTGGAATTGTTGGAGAGATGTAAGTCGAAGCAGCATTTCCAAGAGAGACAGTGAGGTCTTAATATTATTGAACAGAGGGTTTGAAACAGTGTATAGAGTTTCATTGCCGGAAGGAGATTGCGGAGCATTAATGTGACTCTGAGAGCGGAGCAGCTGCTCTGCGTCATCAATATGTAGTTTGGAAAGTTTTTTGTTCAGATTATCATCAGGAGCCCGGGGACTAGGAGATGGTTCAGGAGATTCTGGCTCATCTTCAGAATCGGAGGTTTCAGATTCATTATAAACTTCAAACGCAATCCATTCCAAATCCAGGCCTGGCGGGAATAGCCAGCGTTCAGCCAGTTCGGATTTTGTTAACGGTACAGATGTAGTATCATCAACGTGATGCTCCTCATTACTCAAGGTGCCTTCACTTGCCTCCTCATCCATTTCGTGGTATTCTGCCTCACTTTCGTACATCATTCTTCGCGGAGGGATTGCATCTATATCACGTTTTAGTAGCAAAACAGGGTGATTAACTTCGCCTTCGCCTCCAATATTAAGTATTTTGCCGGTATCCGCGTAGAATATTTTTGAAATCTGATGTATAGGGATGGTTTCTCGAATCCCGGCCAAAGCCACATCTTCGAAACGAGATGGTTCTTCATCCTCTGAATCAAACGTATGAACTCGATCATCATCGAAGTCTTCAATAATGAGGATTTGATAAGCAAACTCGTCACCTTTGGTGCCGCTCCGAATATGTTCATCGCTAGGCCAATCAGTAACCGGCAGAGATGAAGACGGATGAGAGTTAAGTAATCTCATCGGAACCCTCCGTAATTTCAGGCGTGCTTTGTGGATAACCTCCTTCCAGGTTGTATTTCTAACGCTTTCTTCATCATGCGGCCTGACGTGCCCCGCAAAAAGAAGATATACCGAAAGGGTGAAGGTAGGGCCAATCTGCACTGCATGAGCCGGTGAAACGGAAAATTGAGTATCACCAGCAGTCAGGAACGTGCTCGCCTGAAGGAGTCGCGATGGTGATACGGTTGCAGGTAGTGTAGTAGACAAACTAGCTCCAGAGGTCGTGATGGCGAGATTGATGAGGGGCACAGCATCCTCAATCCGGTCCAATAATTTGCGGATGTCCTTGATTACTATCTTTACTTCCGCATTGATTTCTGCGCGGCGCGCAGTGGAAATAGCTCCTTTGCGGCCTAACGCTTCATGGGATGCGATGCTAGCCAATCGCTGGCCAAGACCTTGGATATCCCATCTCAGCCCTTTTGTGAGAGACACGGCGGATTCGAGAGAGGTGTTTCCCCGGGCCGCTCTACTTCATATTAGAATTGGAGCTCAGATCACACCAAAAGCTGGCTAGGGACGTACATGAGTTCGATCATATCAATTGCGGGTGAAATGATCTAGACAATCAATATACACCAACTAGAAAATTGTAAAGAGACACCCGAAATCAACTTACGCGAATTTTCCCCTGAAGCCGCTCTTGTAGGGCCTGGAGTTCGGAGCGATAGCCATCATCAATATTCTAGCCCTGAATCAACAATCACTTGCCACTGTACAGAGAAAGAAGCTTGGAACCAACCGATGACTTTCTCATGAGACGAGATACTTGGCTAATGGCATATTGACCTGTGACGCGGATGCCTGATCTATGCCAAGTCAAAATTTGGCCAACTCACAAAAGAGAATAGATGCGCGCTACCTTACAGCATAATTCATGGCCTGGCCAGTGAGCTATGGAGCTGGTCAGCAATTGCATCAGTAAGCCAGAATCCTTTGCTGGGATGAAGTTACTGTCAGGAGGAGTTTGTCCATGGTAACAAAGCCAGCCATGGTCAGAATCCAACATAGTCCTCAGAGCAAACTCCAGATGTGTGATGGGTGCTGTTGTCTTGTTGTGCTTGAATGTAGGATGTACTTTTGATATTGCCCTCATAGCCAGCAAGCTTGCCTTGGCCGTTAACTAGTTAGGTAATCCGGCTAACCCCAGGTCCACGTGACCCACACTATCAAATAGCCACTAGTTACCTCATCTATATCGACATTACGGCTGGTATCAAACCTGAATACCTGGATGCTCTCACCACCAATAAATGTCCATCATATATGAATATTAGGCTGACTGCAGTAAAAACAGCCCCAAATGCTGTTGATAGACAGAATCAGCCGCTACAGCTCCATGATATCATCAAGTGAATAATGGGGGTCAATTGTGCCATCCTCTGCCTGTTTCATCTTAATGGGGTAAATTACGTCCAGCTTACTCCGCTCCTCCTGGTCTAGATACTGTAGTCGGTCGTCAAGGGACGTGAATTCCCCGTAGTAAGCCTTGTCGATGAACGTCCAGTATATCTCATCAAACATGGAGCTGAACCGTGCTGCCAGACACACCCAGAACAGGCCGTTATCCAAAAACTTGTCCATGTGCGGCGACAGCCTCTGAGACTCGAGCAACGTGCCATCCAATATCATTTCCGATTCGACCACTCGTAAAGCATCCAGGAATAGATGAAGCGAGGCCTGTAGCGAGTCAAGAACTCCATGAGATCAGATTCCCAATCTCCCGGAGCCTGTAGGAGAAGCCACCATGGAGCCACGTAGCTGAATTCAACGGGGGCCACGTATATATACTCCCAGTCTATGGCTGCCGCAATACAGAACCTTTCAATGTCCACAAGCACATTTGAGGGGCGGAAATCGTCACAGTAAAGCTGGAATGGTCCTTCATGGAACTGAATACGCTGAACTACCTTGCTGAATAGGCAGCGGGCGACAAACTTCTTGCGACAGTCTGCTTCGCCTGTGATCGCGTCGTTTCGCTGAGTAAGGAAATGCAACATGTGCTGTGTAGCAAGGGACTTGAAGTACCCAGCGGCCGTTTCAAATATGGTGTTTGGGTTTGGCAAGGCATGAGGCGGAATGTAGGCAGATGTTGATAACTCATTCATGTTAAAAGTAAACGGCCGCCTGGAGACTGTAAATTCTCCATCCGGCCCTTCTGTTAATGAACCAATTTTGGAGAATTTGGGCTTGGACAGCTCAAGGAGGAGCTTGGCCATCTTTTGGTAAGCTCTCCGCAGGCCTCGCTCGCTTATCTCTGGGTTCAGAACGGGTCGGCCTTTCACCTTGGGAGCTTTAAGAATGTTGGAGAGAGGGGTTCCCTTGATATAGGTCATAATGATGTACGGTCCCGTCCACGTCTTCCCAGAGCCATACACCTAGGGGACAGGGATCGTAGTATGCCGCCGGAGATATTGGAGGACGGCAACTTCATTGGCGACTTTCTCTGCACGGAAGATTGTTCGACCAAGAGAGCTGAACCGAACAATGACCTCCGGGGTATCATCATGAAACTGGACTCGGTAGCACACGTTGAAGGCACCGGTTTCCCACTGACATGCCTGCTTGGCTCTGCAGCCTAGATGTTTGGAGGTGAGACTCATTGCAAGATTTTCAGGAGGTGTTGCAAGCAGCTGCTTTACCCACTTTGCCAAAACGTCGTCTAGCTGATCCTCGGCGATATGGTCATACAGCATGGTGACTGCGCAACCTCACAGGTCAGGTAGGGAAGGATATATTGAAGTAAAGCGCCGCAGGAAAGAGTCAAGAGACAAACAAAACACAGACAGTTTTGACCCCGTAAAAATGAACAGCAAGTGCAAGATGTAAGAGAGTGGAAACTGATAAAGAGCAGAGGAGGTTGGGGCCCCGGCTGGAAGCACTTAAGCCCCTTGTAAGTCGGTGTACGGACCAGGTTTTCTCTAGTTCCCATAAATTTTGCCCAATATTTACGTCCAAGGGCTACAATTCATAGTACAGGACCCACGCCTTGAAGCTTTGAAACTTTTGTAGTTTGTGATGAGATTATTGCTTTGTCAGCGACGTCGGCTGTGGTGGGGCCCTGGAGCCGCAACTGCGCTAGTTAAGCGCGCTTGGCATAAATCGGGACTAGTCCTAAACAGGCTAGATGGCCAGCTGCACAAAAGTGGTTACATAATCCCGCCCCACGTCAAAAGTTCGTCGATTCGAGCCCCACGGCCTCACGTTCTCACGGTCGACATCAAACATCTGAACTTCACGGCTGCTGCTCTGCCTCTACAGAAGCGCCAATTGTCGAGCTGCGTGTCACTTGAGTTGGGTTCTGTTTCTTGTGCATTTTCTTTGTATCTCGGAATTTGGAAGGGTAATTCTACTCCTTGGCTCTTTCAAAATGTCCCATCTCGACTCTTGGGAGGATGACCCCGCCGCTCAAGACGAAAACCTGGCTAGGCAGGCTCAGCAGAATCTAAACCTCAACCCGCAGACTTCCTCATTCCGTCCTGGTGCTACGTCCTTTCAGCCTGGTGCTTCCGAATTCCAACCCGGTCAGCCGTTCCAGTACGGTGGATATCCGCAACACGGTGGGGGTCAGTTCCAACAACAAGGGTATTCTGGCTATCAGCAGCAGCATCAGCCCTATGGCCAGTACAACCAACCATATGGCCAGCAGGCTGGTTATAACCAATACCAGGGGCAGCAATACGGGGGATATAACACACAGCAGCCACAGCAATCCCATCCGGCCCAGCCGCAGCAACAGCAGCAATGGCGACCAACGCAAATCGCGGAGCGGCCAAAAGCTCCTTCTCAAACTGTCACCCCCGCTGCAGCCCAGAAACCAGCAAATACCCCTGCCCAAACGGCCCCAGCCCCCAAAGCGAAGATATTGAGTATCGGCGGTGATATCCCAAAAGCCAAAACACCAACGGCAACCTCGACGACCCCAGCTTCCACCATAAATTCTGCACCCGAAAAGGCTAGTGGACCCGCGGCAGTTGAGGCAGCATCCAAGGTCACTGCCGCCAAAGCTATTGAGAAAACAGAGAAAAAGACCGCGGCTTCTGGAAAGACGTCGCCTTCCCCGTCATCCGGTCGATCGTCCCCCAGTCGCGCCGAAACGAAGGCAGCAGCCCGTGATGCAGATTCTGTTGCTAGAGAACAAGCCGCTGATGTGGATGAAGCGACCTTGCGGGAAATTTACGGTGAGAAACGTGAACATGTCAACTTGATTTTCATTGGTCACGTCGACGCGGGCAAGTCAACATTGGGTGGCAGCATCCTGTACGCGACGGGTATGGTTGATGAACGTACGATGGAAAAGTATAAAAAGGAGGCTAAGGATGCTGGTCGAGAAACTTGGTATCTCTCCTGGGCTCTAGATTTGACAAACGAGGAACGATCCAAAGGAAAAACCGTGGAAGTTGGCCGCGCCTTCTTTAAGACGTCTGGCGAAACTGCCCAGGGCCCCATGACTCGTCACTATACGATCCTCGATGCTCCTGGGCACAAATCCTTTGTTCCCAACATGATTGGTGGTGCCTCTCAAGCTGATGTGGGTATCCTCGTCATTTCTGCCAGAAAGGGCGAATACGAGACCGGGTTTGAGCGGGGTGGTCAGACGCGTGAACACGCATTACTTGCTAGGAATGCTGGTGTGAAGAAACTCATAGTTGCAGTTAACAAAATGGATGATCCTACAGTGGAATGGAGTAAAGCGCGTTACGAAGAGTGTTCAACCAAAATTGGGAAATTCTTGGAGGCTATGGGATACAAAAAAGATGACCTGAAATTCATGCCTATCTCTGCCCAGAAAACCGTGGGGATTAACACACCTGTCCCCAAAGATTTGGCGCCATGGTGGAATGGTCCTTCGTTGCTCGATTATCTTCATAATATGAGCATGCCCGAGCGAAAGATTAACGCTCCCTTCATGATGCCGATCAACGCGAAATACAAGGACATGGGAACAGTGATTGAAGGGCGAATTGAATCTGGTGTTCTGAAGAAAGGGGCCACATGCATTCTGATGCCAAACAGAGAAGAAGTTACTGTCACTGCTCTCTATGGTGAAACAGAGGAGGAGATTCCCACCGCTACGTGCGGTGATCAAATCCGGGCACGTTTACGAGGAGCCGAAGAAGAAGACATCATGCCTGGATTTGTCATGTGTTCTCCCAAGCGACCGGTCCATTGCGTTACTGCTTTTGAAGCTAAGATTAGAATCCTTGATTTGAAGAGTATTCTGACTGCCGGTTTCAATTGCGTGATGCACGTACACTCAGCCATTGAAGAAGTCACCTTCGCGGCGCTACTCCACAAGCTTGAGAAGGAAACCGGTAGGCGAAGTAAGAAACCGCCACCATTTGCCAGCAAGGGACAAACCATCATCGCTCGGCTTGAAGTAATCGGGGGGGCTGGTGCCGTTTGCGTGGAGCGGTTTGAGGATTACAATCAGCTTGGACGGTTCACCCTCCGGGATCAGGTACGTGGTTCTTGTTGATACTGTATGAAGTGGCCGTGTACTAACATCGTACCCAACAGGGACAAACCATTGCCATTGGGATGATTACCAAATTGATCACCGATACCCCTGCTTAAGGTTATATAGTTTTGCCATGGTAGGATTGCTACTTTGCTGTACCTACTCTTTATACAGGATGCCGTTATGGTTTGTATCAAGAAGGCTTTTAGTCCCTGCTGGCGAAGGTCTATCTCTGCCATAGATTAGGAAATAAAGCGCCCGTGAGGAAAGGCTCTGTTCAAAAGTGCATCAATCAAATATTTTGTGAACCCCAACTCCTGTCATCCGCCGTAGTCTATAAGCGTGGTGGCTCCGAATTTTCAGCAGGAAGAATACGTAGGATGTTGAAATATCACCGTTTTCTCCTCCCAACAACCTTTGTGAAACCATCCTCGTCAACTTCGGGCTCTATGACCTCCCGCGGCGGCCTTGTCGCTGGCGCATCCTCCATCTCGACATCCTCATCCTCTCCATCCTCCTCTTCATCCTCGTCCGTCTCCTGGTCCTCATCGTTTGTCTCCACCCTCTTAAACAACCCAACACTAGAAGCCTTGCCCTCTCTCTGCTTCCAATCCTCCCACAACTTATTCACCATCTCCAGATCTCCCTTGTCGATTTTCCCCTTCAGGTCGATGATCCGATCGGCGACGTCACCCGCACTCTCGTCGTCAACCACGACGTCAAACTCATCGTTCATCACTTGCAGCAGGACCTCTTCGAGATCGCCTGCGTCGGTGTCGGGGCGGTCGGTGAAGAGTTCCGCAATGGCGGCGCAGAGCCAGTCGCGCTTGTCGGCGGAGGTGGGGCCTCCCCAGGAGGATTGGACAGCGAGGCTGAGGACAGGCCAGTTGTGGAGGGCTAGGGTGATGGCGAGGTCGAGTTGGGCGGAAGGCGAGAGAGAGGTAGGTGTTTGCTCGGGGGGTTGAGGCTGCGATTGCGATGTTCCGTCCATTGTCGGCTGGACTGTGTGCGATGGTGTCGGGGGAGGAAGGTTGCAGAGGAAAAGCGGCGTATCACGATGATTTCTGTTGTCCCTTGTTTTGATCTATCAAAAATACTCTAGCTCCGATATTGTCTCAAGATCTGAGTAGCTTGAGGAGTATGAAGAACGCTGTGTGATATCCGCTATATGGCCCCGCGGCTTTTTTATGGAGAAAAAGTTCGATGGCTCGAAAATACGATGTGAACGACTGAGATCCGAGTTGCGCCGTCGTGCTCAACAACACCGTCTCTTCACTTCACTCAGCCCTGCCCCTGTATAGTCGACGACGAGCACTCCTTGCCGTTGCCTGTGCGCCCTTGCTGCCGTCTCTTGCGGTTTCTCGCGTGGTAGCCGGGGATTGCTCGGTTTTGCATCGCCAACGTCCATGACATCACTCCGAACTCAGCCCAAAGAATGAGAAAACCGCCGACGACGGGACTGAGGAACGGCCGTTTCCTGGTTACTCTCGAGTGGCTAGCCTGTTTGCATATTGGTCTGACTACTTCTTGCAATGATCATTCTCGAGTTCTTCAGTTTCTTCAGTTTGCCGTTGCTTGAATCCCGCATTTGTGGCCGGGGCCCCTGAATGATTGCGACGGTGAGGCTCTGGATTTGAGACGTAGCCGTGAAGTTGGGACCGACTATGCCTTTCAACACTATTACCGTTGCTTCCGCGATTGCACCCACGGTTCTCAAAACATGGTGGGCTCATGTAAGGTCAATCCCGCAGTCCGCTCCGTCGAGGACATCCCCCTTGCTGACATGAATGTTTCCGAGACAGCACTTCGGAGGAAAGCCACCCAAGCAGAAACCAACGCACCGTCTTTCCTACCATGAGGGACTGGAGGTCATCCGCCGCTTCATGTACTATTCCTCTCACCACACAGTCGAGCAGTTCCAGGCCTTCACCGCTCGCCGGGTCCCTTCACCCCACTGGGTCAAGCAGTCCAATGTCGTGGTTCCCGCCGAGCACCTCGTGTCTGCAGGGCACCTCATCATCGCAGAGCTTGGTCCTGAAGGGATTGACCGAGTTGGAGGGAAAACATGGTGGCAGTGGAGAGGGGACGACGTTGCCCTTTATGCCGAATGGATCGAGATGAGGAGCGATTATACAGAACGGAGAAATCTGGGTCAGAAATCCAAACGGATCATATTATATGTGCATGGAGGGGCGCATTACTTTGGAAGTGTGGATACGCATCGCTATCAGTTGCAGCGCCATGCAAGGAAGCTCAAGGCGAGGGTATTTGCTCGGTAAGAGAGTCAATGACGATTTATGCGATGAGTAGAACCCGTGCTAACGTGTTTGGTAGTGAGTTGACTGGATTGAATTCATGATTCGGAAGAATAACATTAACAACCAATAGCAAGGTATCGATTGGCTCCTCAGTTTCCATTTCCATGCGGCCTGCAGGACTGTTTGGCAGCCTACCTACATCTCTTGACCCTTCACAGGCCCGAAGAGATAATATTTGCCGGAGATTCGTCTGGGGGCGGAATGGTGGCGTCGTAAGTGTGGCCAAGTGATGCTCTCACTACAGAACTGACAACCTACAAATAGGATGCTTATAGTTCTCCGTGATCAAAAAATACCATTGCCTGCGGGGGCGATTTTGATCTCTCCGTGGCTCGACTTGACACATTCGTTTCCTAGTATGAATGATACCACAGGCCAGGACTACTTGCCTGTATACGGCTTCATGCAACGGCCGTCGATGGGCTGGCCACCTCCAAATGCCGACGAAATGGGCGTAGTAACAAATTGCGCCGGGAAGATTCTCCAGGCTATAAACTCTCCACCAGTGGCAGATAGCACGACTACAGTTGATGAACATGCTATCGAGCAGTTTTTCATCCGCCAAGCTACTGCCACAACCCAAGCTGGCCATCTTGAACGGTTGCCGGAACATCGTACAGCCAGGTTTGGAGATACCAGCCATGACCACATTCAACCAGACCATCTACTAACGATCCGTATGGACGGAGTCGTCGTGGAATTGAAAGATCAAATTCACATGTATACTACTAATGAAATGCTATCGCACCCGCTCGTTTCACCAGTCTTGCAGCCGTCACTGGGCGGTTTGCCTCCTTTACTCATTCTCACTGGTGGCGGCGAGATGCTTCGAGATGAACAAATTTACTTTGCTCACAAAGCCGCTAATCCCACAGCATATCTGCCAGGCGAAAAATATTTAAATCGACACGACCCGGAACGAAAGACCATAGGAAGATATGGCCCTACATATGTACAGCTACAGGTTTGGGATAACCTCTGTCATGTGGCCCCAACTCTCAGCTTCACCCAGCCGGCGAAGTACATGTTTCGTTCGATTGCGCAATTCGGGGCTTGGGTGCTTTCACGAGCGCAAGAAGCTAGCATTGAAATCCCTGATTGGAGTACGTCTTCCAGCGGAAATATTGATTACCCTGGTGGGCAGCAACAGGGACGGTTCCAGCAACAGCAAGGTTTCAGATCCGTTGGAAAGGCTGGTGATCCTCTCCCACCATTCCATCGCCACATGATTCGACAGTTGATTGACGGATATGGCAATGTTCACCCATTACCGGATGAGTCTCAACTTCCAGCACTCAACATCCCTCCTGATGATATTGGAGAACCAAAGGTTGGGCCTGTAAGGCGGTGGATGAACGCGAAGCATGAGTGGGATACCAAGTACGCCCGACAGAGGCGTAAAGTATTGAAAAGGCGAGTAGAGGAGTTACTGTTGGGTATTGAGGAGCTGGCTCCGGGAGAGATACCGCCGCCCAGCTCTGCAGCAGCGAGGCGGGGCGTTTCTATTCAACGGATACGAAGACCTTCGAAGAAGAGTCGTGCTCTCACACTTTGGAATTCTATTGGGAATAAGCACGATGAAGCGGCCCTCAAAGAGACCGGAGAATATGGTGGTCGTTTTCGGGCTCCCATGCCGAGGCCAGCAAGCGAAACCAGAGTGGTTACAGATGTAGGGCAGTCAAATGAGTCTGAAAGAGACGTTTCGGAGAAATTCTCACCTCGTCGTCCATCTTCACTCGCGTCTTCAAGGTACACCGATTATACCACTTTTCAAAACAACAACGCAAGAGAAAGCAATGGATATATCGAGGGGCGGAACACGCCTGGACTAGTTACGCCCCAGATAACAGTCAATCACCATCCACATCCAGGTGAAGCTCCACCGCGGAGTGCACTTCGCGACGCCCATCCAAGGCACGAACGCTCTCTTCGGCATCGAGACCCCAACGATAGAGCTAGTACTCGAGCAATTCGACATGCTCAAGGGGTAGTAGGGCCTTCATCTCCCATCCACGAGTCAGAATCGTCGCAAAACTGGGCAACTCCCCGCGAGTCAACCTCCGCGCTGCCGAGTAGGCAGTCTGTGCCAATGCACACAAAATCCTACCGTGCACCCAGGGATCGCTTGGCCCCGAACGATGCAAGTACTTCCGGATTCGTCGATCGTCGCAAGCTCCGCGTTGAGGAACCGGATGAAGATGAAGGGCCAAGTTATGAGAACGCTTCCGACCGGTATCCTCGATACGACATGGACCGTCCTGCACCTCTAAATGCTACGAGGTCGCGCGGGTCGACACACCTCAGCAGTCAAGCGCGACCTAGCTTTGTGACGGCGCGGGGCTCGTCTAGACGTTATTATCAGGGCAAGGGATTGGCTGATGAGTTTAATTCCACGGGGCCTACGGCACCGTCAGAGACGGAACCGTTCCCGCCGTTTCCGGCGAGTGAAAATGTCAGCACCGGGTCACGGCTGGGAGCTGGGGTTAATGGAGATGTTGAAGCGATGGATGCGCGGAGTGGATATTCAAGTGCCTATTCAGATGAACGAGTTGGCGCCGAAAACGCGAGAAGATATTATTGAAACTGTATGCGTCTAGAGGAGGTTGGGGGTGTTGTAAGGTAGATACCAGGCATGTATTGGTGTTTAGGATGTGGTGTAACTGATTGGGGTTATTTGAAACACTTATATTTGCAGTTAGAATTGTTTGCACTGGATGCGTCTGGGGATATATTGAGATTCAAGGCGGGCATTGATGTACGGAGTAGTTATGTGTTATTGCTGTGTCGAGACTTGAACGTACGTATTTTTCGATGTCTATAACTACTACTCCGTAGCTACATAATTATCTCCTCAAAATATCCTATACTGTATGCGTAGGGCTTTCTTGATTCACATATTGAACCTATCATTCCGATCCTACATTCATTCTCTTTACAAACAGGGCCATGTCTGCCTAGATATACGCTCACATCTGAGCTGGTCATTCCAGCTAAATCCATGCATCCTGAAGAGCCAAGTTTAATCTTACCAAGAGAGCCTTTTAGTTAACTTTTATTACACGTCAGTCATTTCCATTCCAGCCCAACCTTTCGGGCGATCTTCTCAGCGATGTTTAAAAATGCATTCCTTCTCGCGCTTCGGTCATCGCCCTCTTCTGCCACGACAGTGGGAACGCCCCTATCAGCGTCCTCGCACACTCTCGCATCAAGGGGAACGTCCCCCAGAAAGTCAATGCCCAGGCGCTCACAAGCCGCTACGACTCCACTGTTGTCTTGACACTCATGGCCTTGCCCGGAAATCCCCCCCGAGAATATTCTTGTCTGTTTGCCGCAGTGTGGACAAGCGAAAAAGGCCATGTTCCTTATCATACCCAAAACAGGAACATCCATTTTCTGAAATAGCCCATAGCCTCTGACAGCGTCTCTTAGGGCGATGTCTTGCGGTGTGGATACAATCACAGCACCGTCCACGACCACTTCTTGGTTTATGGTTAGCTGCACGTCTCCGGTGCCTGGGGGTAGGTCAAGAATGAGGATATCAAGTGGTCCCCACGAAACGGAGTGGAGGAGCTGGTTCATTGCTTTCGAAACCATGAGACCGCGCCATGAGATGGGGGTTGTGTCTAGCGGGGCAGTATTAGGGTCGGATGTGGTGATTGTTGATTCTGGCGATGGAGGAGGTAAAAGATAACCCATAGACATGGATTTCAGACCGTAATTCGTGAGTGGAACAAGACAGTTCTCTGGAAAATCCAGTCAGCCTAATAAAACTTCGAGATGACGGAGGAGCATCTACGAAGAAACGTACTGTCATCGAGCCGCGGCTCTCCGGACAAGTTAAGCAGCGTAGGAATGGACGGTCCAAAAATGTCTGTATCAAGAATTCCCGTGCGAATTCCCCGTCGAGCAAAAGACAATGCAATGTTCACTATCAGGCGTCCACCGTTAACTGTCAACACCTTTCAGAACCGGGACATTCACCAAACGGACCCTACCAGCGATTGTCGATTTGCCCACTCCACCTTTAGCAGATGAGACTGCCACTACCTTGTTCACATCGCGAATCTTCCTTTTCTGTGGCAAGCCACGGCGGCGAGGGAAAGACGGCGGCGTGCCTGAACGCGGCAATCCCTTTGGATAACTGGTTAGAAAAGGAATTGGGAGCAGCGTGGGATATTTACCAACGGGTTGTCATGCTGAAGCTGCCGCAGAGTAGAAAAGTAACTCCGACGCATGTTTCCCTCAAATATCAAGGGTGATTCCCTCCATGCACTTCCATTGCGCCCCGGAGCTCCTTGCATGTCGCCAAACTACTCCGTCGTGGTCGGGAGCTTAGGTTCGGCTAGCCTTCCCCATCCAATAAAAGGAATGTTTCCCGAGAGAGCTTCAACCAAAATTTACTTCGAAAAATAATCTCCAGCGACAAAAAGCACAGCGGATTCGAGGATATACGCGACCATGGCGGGAATTAAAAAGAAAGTGAAATCTCTGGCTGAACAGGTTTCTGAGCTTGAAGATCCAACTCCAAAAGGTACGTTGGCAATTTTCCGCGACATCAGCGAAATCTAACCCCAAAGCAGATTTCGATCCCGAAGATCAGAGCGATTACGGACAAACGAGCGACGAGGATCAATTATCAGGAGATGGAAATGGAGTTGAATATACTGGGCGCGAGCATTACGAAGCTGTTGGGTGTGATCCTTCTGCTTATCCCATTTTCTCCAAAGTCCACATACTAATAACTTCTGGTTCAATAGCAAAAGCAAGCTCCGCAAACCGGTCCCGGTTGAGCTTGGGCGCGAATACGAAGGCTCTCGTGTTGATAGAAATGCTTTAAATGCGGTCGACTATGATCATGACTCCTTTGGCTCCGCAGATAGCGAGGAAGGGCTTGAGGAAGACGATATGTCTGGGCTAGATGACGGCAGCGGAGATGATGATGATGACGATGATGACGACGAAGATGGGGATGAAAACGACGGAACGGAAAACATGGATGGCATAGATGAAGATCTCGGAAGTGAAGATGGAGTTGAGGACATGGAGAGCGAAGAATCAGGGGATGACGAGGAAGACGAGGAGAAGCCTCCCTTGCGGAAAAACAATCATTTCGACGAGAGGGAAGAATTACGTCGACTTATGGCCTCCGATCATAAAGTCGTTGCCGCATCTATATCCCAAGCGGCCAAGGCAGACGCCGCAAAGGGTGCGGCGGTCAAACGACAACGACGTGCCTTTGATGCACTTTTAAACAGCCGCATCAGACTACAGAAAGGTCTTACCTCGCTCAATGACCTGCCCTCTGAGCCTGAGGTGGATCCAAACATGCATGAGCAATTAATCACATCCGCCGAAACTGCTGCAGTCTCGCTATGGAATGCTCTGGACGACTTGCGCCATGCCCTCGCCGACTCCCGTTCCAAAGATGCCTCCTCCAGAAAACGCAAACGCACACCGATCACCATAGATACCCCCTCCACAGTCATCTGGAGCCAAATGAACGATTTCGAAACCAAGTCCCTCCCTCATCGCCGTGCCATCCTTGACAAATGGTCCATCAAAGCCCGCGGCATCCGCGCCGCCCTCCCATCAAACCAAAACAAGCTTCTGACCACCCAATCCGACCGCCAGACCATCACCGCTGTTCTAGACGCCCATATCGCCACTGAAACTGCGGCTACCACTGCAAATATCGGCCGCCCTGAGGACCCCAAACCTCATCGAACTATCTACGACGACACCGCCTTTTACCAATCCCTTCTTCGCGACCTGGTCGAACAGCGAATGACCTCGTCCTCCTCCACTGCGGCCATCGACTCCCAGCTCCCCTCTCGTTTAACAGGCCTATCCATTCACCCTACAACCGGCATGCGCAAGGATAAAATCAAGCGCGCCGTCGATACAAAGGCATCCAAGGGCCGGAAGATGAAGTACAATGTGCATGAAAAGTTGCAAAATTTCATGGCTCCGGAGGAACGAGGATCGTGGGGGGATAGAGCGAGGGAGGAATTCTTCGCGTCATTGTTAGGGAGAAGCGCAAGGGAGGTTCTCGGTGAAGACGATGAAGGCAAAGATGGAGTGACCAGTGACGACGAGGACGTAGAGGAGGGTGGGCTTAGGTTATTTAGAAGCTAGCCTGGTATATATCCTCTTGAGCGATTGAAACAGATCCTATACCAATGAAAAATTTTGTCTGGTCATTGATACTCTTCATATAATCTGGGATCCTTTTAGGCCCGTAAAAGTATGTATTGGCTATGTTCTCATTGCCCACGAAACATTATTTTATAGGACATGAAATGCATAAGCTCCTAGCAAACCGTTCTTGTATTGCAAGTATCTCGGATGTCAAGCTGCTTGTAATTTTTAGGTCAACGAGATATTAGTTTCTTATCTAGAGAAAAGGATATAGATGCAGCTTGGCTCGTCACCAGTAGGCAGGGATAAAGCCATGCGAAAGGGACACCAGCCTCTCAGGAAATTTATGACAGAATAACACGGTCAATCCACTATCTTAAATTAGACTCCTGTCGCAAAAAGAAGTGATGCATGAAAGAAAGTATTTATCAACAAGGGACAGCAAAATACTCATGTCATCGAGATACTGGCCGTCGTGAAGGTAAATATGGCGCGCGAGTTAAGGGGCGAAAAAAAAAAATGAAAAGCAGTAAAGACTAGTAGGTATCTTCTTCCTGCTGATATACGTGTCGACTCCTGCCCGGATCCTTGCGCATCTGCTGGCCCGATCCGGTGAATCCAACTAAAGCAAACGCCACATGTTAGCAACGACGGAACCTAGAATGCTGTGTACAGTATGAAACGAAACGTACCACGAGCATTGACGCCTTCTGGAGTACGAAACATGCTCTCCTTTTTAGAAGACTTGCCAAATTTACCCTTGCTAGCGAAATCTTGCCACTTTGCTTTTCCCGCCTCCAGATCCTTATTGGCCTTCACTTTTCGAGGCATTTTAGCAGGGCGGGACCCATCGGCAGGCTTGACGGTTTCAGTTCGAGCCTTGTTGGCTAGAGCTGGGTTAATATCAGCGGCAGCGGATATAACGCTGGAATTCGCCGGTAGAGACTGCGGGCCTGGTGTTCCTGGTATCCCATCAGCCTTGCGCTTTCGAGAATCATTAGAGATGGGTTTAATGTCTTTTGCGGTTAGAGTCTCGGTGGTCGAGTATGACTTGAAGGAAACAATGTATATTGGATTTGTGGAGGAACCGGTGATTGAGGTGATACGGGCTGGATAGAAAGAGTTATCTCCAGATACCCATCTGGCGAGAACGTTGTCGTTAACCGAGAACGAAACAGAGTGCAAAGGCTCTTCGACGGGGGTAGCCTCAACGGCAGATTTCCGGTAACCAGCTTGGTATGCTGGATGGTTCTCTTTAGACCACTTTTCTTTTACCGGGGGAGTTGACGGTTTCGATTGGGCGGGCGTAGGTACAGATGCTGGTCGCAATTCGGCAATGGATTGTTCGGTAAGTGATATAAGTTCTTCAAGCTCAGTCTTAAGGCTTTGGAGCTCGGTATTGTCTGGATCTACCTGCAAGCTTGACTGAACAGACTCAAGCTGAGAAGGGAGTGTCAGCTCAAGAGGTGAAGGCAACTAGGGAGGGGGGGATTGTTACCTGAAGCTTGAATTCCTTCACCTCATTTTCCAAAGCGACGATGTCTGTACTCATGGCTATGGTAAGATTAGACTGAAACTAAATCAGGAAAAGAGGGGAGAATATGGTAAAAAATGTGTTGCGATAGCTGGCTGAAGATGAAGTTGATGTCTGGGAGACGCCGGCGGCTTTGAGAGCGGCTACCTGGATGATGTTTGCTTTGTTTGACTAATTCACTAACATCCATGATCGCAGCTTCAAAGCAGAGACCAAGGTATGGATGGACGTGCGTCTAGTGGAACAATTTGATGCGTGAAAGAAATGAGAGCAAGACATAAATTGGGCAAAGCATCTATTTATGTAATTTTATCCGATCTGGAAAGTATCAACTATAACCGCTGTAGTACTAGTTCGAGGTTAAGACGAAAGCGATAGCAGTCTAGATTGACCCGAGATGGGGATTCCAGCCATTCACAAAAGAAGGGATTAAATAGTGACTAAGTGTCCAGAGTGACTATTACGAGCAAGAAGGTGGACAATTGTTGGTCTGCGTAGGTCCAATTCTTTCTCCATTGCAAATCTGGATACCTATACATATGTTATCGCGCTTGATAGCTAATCACTCGGAGAAAACCAAAGGCGAAGGGTCTATGAGGGTGACGGTAAAGAATTCTCTCTAAAGACTCGCGCAGCAATGAATATCCATAGCATGTCCCAAAAGTCGGGATCTCAACAGGTTCAACTGTGTTGAAAACAGTCTCAAGGAATCCATAGCACAGGGATACCTATCACCAGAGCAATCGATGCTAGCAACCAAAGGACGGTCATGATGCGCATGGCTTGGCAATTGCAGTGATTCTGAGAAGCATCAAGTTGTTGGGTGCGTCTCCCCTGCAAGTTGCATTGCATGGCTAGTTAAATAATTAGTTAATAAAGCAGCGACTGAGCAGACATAGGTGTTCTGTCACAACGGGGATCGCATCATACATGCGTCGAATCGAGCAAAGGGAATCTCGCTTTTCCTTTGTCCCAGTTGATTCAACGACCAGATGAGTGGCGGCGATGAGCGCGCATCAGATGACAAGTGAAGAGGAGTTGGGATTTATAATGCGCTGATCGCGGCAGTCAAAAGCGGCGTGGAGTCGGCGCTGGATCCGGCAAGGCGCGGCGGAAGGTTCAACTAGAAACCGAGCCAGTGCGGATAGTGGGTTCTAGAACACAGTGCCGCTTTAATGGCCGGTGAGTCATCGTGCCGCAAAGCAAGGTTTCAACCCCAAAGCGACCTGGCGCCTTGGCAACGCCGCGAGAACGTCCGCCCTTCGTCTCCTCTGCATCAATCGACCACCTTGCATCCAACACACACCCACGCACTCTCTCTCTCTCTCGCGCGCTCTTCTGGCCGTGCGGACTGGCTTCGGCAGCAGAGCTTGGATGAATGGTCGCAGTACGGGTGCTGCCAGCCAGACTGACGCCGCTTTTTGTCTCTCGTGTCACCCCGACGATCTCCTCTCACAGCTCCCTCACCCCGCCCTCATTCTAGAACCAGCTCCCTCCGCCCTGCCCAACTTGCATCACATCTTCCCAGCTGTTTGATCCCCCACTGTTGTTTGCCTTGGGTTCTCAATAAAAATCACCCGATGAA